GCGCGGGTGGGGGGCGAGAGACGTTGGACGGCGACGAGGGATGACGGCGGCGACGGCGGCGACGGCGCGCGGGCCGACGGGCGGTCAGGGGGTGAGAAGGCGCGATGGACGGCGATGGAGCGCGCGGATGACGACGCCGACGCGATATGGACGCGGGGTGGAGACGTCGGGGCGCGCGTGGACCACGCGCGCGGCGCGGGAGGACGCTCGGGACGGATTCGGTGAAGACGGACGTCGGGACGGCGTCGATGGGTTCGCCTCGTCGTCGGGGGGGTCAGGGGGGTCGTCGGGGACGTCGTCGTCGTTTTTCGGTCGCGCGGAGTCGTCGGGGGCGTACGGTGAGGCGGCGCGCGCGGGACGGGGACGGGGACGGGGAGGCGGAGAGGGCGGACGCGCCGGACGCGCCGGACGCGGCGGGCGCGCCGGACGGGGCGGGCGGGGTGGGCGAGGGAATGTGGGCGGTCGAGGCCGCGGCGGCGGCGTGAGTGATTACGTGGTGTTGAATCAGCGCTTGGCGGCGCTCGAGGATATCGATGCATTGTTGGATTGCGCGCGGGATCACATGGATGATTTCAACGTCGTCAATCTATCGACGGCGATGTACAAGTTGGGTAAATTGAACTCGACGCGATACAAAGGAGATGGGGCGAGCAAGGGGGCGACGAGGTACCCCGCCGTGCTGGAGGATGCGCGATTTTTAGCGCTCACCGAAAAGCTCCGCGAGTTGCTCGCGGAGAGTCAGGACGGAAAGGCTCTCAGCGGCGGGCGCGGATCGTTCAAAATTCGAGAGTTTTCCTCCATCATTTGGGGCGTGGCGCACTGCGGGATGAGGACGAACAGCGGTGACCAGACGTTAGGATTGCTCTTCAAGCGCATCATCGCCTTGGAGGACGACGCGCCTCCGGCGCAAAACGTGAGCAATTTGTTATGGGCGTACGCGGTGATGCACAACTCTCGGGAGACAAACAAGGAGCTCCTGAAAAAGCTCGAGTACTGGTGCGATCTCATCATGGACGAGTTTGCGGCGCAAGGAATCAGCAACTCGTTGTGGGCGTTCGCGACTCTCGGATATCAACTGCGTCCAGAGCTCGTGTCAAAGTTCTCGCAAGCGATTCGGCGCGTCAAGGATTTCAAGTCGATGGAGTTTTCCAACATGATCTGGGCTGTAGGTACGATGAAAATAGAGTTAGATCCCCCCGAGCTCTTCGACGAGATCTTGGACGAGTGCTTGGCGAGCATGAAGGCGCTCCCGAACATGTGGAGCTCGCAGAGCGTGAGTAACATTTTGTGGGCCATGGCGTCGCTGAACAAACCTCGCACGCGGTCTCGACACGAGGAGCTCTTGTCGGTGACGATGTCCTTCGTTGAGCGAAGAGCGAATGCGTTCATTTTGCAGGGTTTGTCCAACACCATGTGGGCGTACGCCACCCTCGATTGCACGCCTCCTAAGAACATGCTTGAGAGCGTCACCGAACGTTTCGGGAGTCTCATCACGCCCACCACAAATGTCAGTGAGTGCTGCAACTTGCTCTGGTCCTACGGTAGCATGCGATTTCATCCCGGAAACGAGGTTCTGAACAAAGTGGCCGTGCTCTATCTCCGCGCTTCGCCCGACGAGGTTCCCCTGACGGCGATCTCGAACAGCCTCTGGGCGTGGGCGAACTTTGACTGGCTCCCGAGCAATCCGGAAATACCGCGAAGCGCGCTCGCGCTCGCGAAGCATCACTTCAGGAACGACCCAGAGCTTCAAACGCAGAGTCTGAGCAACATCTTGTGGGCGCTCGCGATTCTAAGATACGTTCCCGAGGATGAAGACTTTTTGGTCGCTTTCTCCGAGCGATCCCTCATCGAGTTGCAACAAGGCCGCTTCAGCTACCAGGGGTTGACGAACACGGTTTGGGCCTTCTCCGTGCTTGGGATCAATCCCGGGCAAACATTGCTGGACGAGTTCGCCCGGGAGATTGGGAATAGACTGGCTGGATATTTTTCCTCACAAGGTGTCTCGAACTCCCTATTCGCGTTCGCTGTTCTGGAGTATTGGCCGGAGAAGTGGGTCGTCGACGCGTACAGGGCCAAGCTCGTCGAAACGGAGAAGACGACGGGGTTTTCCGAGATTGATTGGACGCAATTGTTCCAGGCGAACGTCGTATTCGAGCGGTATTCCCCGCACGGAGCGTTGATCACCGATCCCAAGATGCTCGCCGCGGCGGAAGCGGCGTGGAAGGTTGGTTCGAGCAAGGTTGTCATCAGCCAGTTTCACCGCGAGGTGAGTGAGACGCTCACCGAGATGGGGGTGCCGCACGAGATTGAAAAGCTCGTCGAGGATGGCTTGTTTTCTCTCGACATCGCGCTCAAGGGCAAGAAGGTTGCGATTGAGGTCGACGGTCCATCTCACTTTGCGCGAAACATTCGAGATCGCCGACTCGAGGGCAAGGATGCGGGCGTGACAAACATGCGCACTCGATGCCTCACCAGCAGCGGGTGGTCCATCGTTCACGTTCCGTGGTTCGAATGGGCCGAACAAGCCCCGGGACGTCACGCGGCGTTCATGGCAAAGACGCTCTACGACGAGGCGGGTCTCTCGGTCATGGACGTCGCCTCAGACGAGGACATGTCGGACTCGGGTTTGAGCGGTTTCAAGTCTCGAAGCGACGCGGACGGCTCCGTCTCCGTCGCCCAGATCGGTTCTCGAATCGTCATGGAGAACTCCAACCGAGCCGTCGCACCGCTCGATCACAAAGATAACGATCGATCGAAGAAACCGATGAACATCAAGCGCGTTGGATACGGAATGATGGACGCCGTGGACGCCGACGACTCGTCGCCGTCGCCGCCGCCGACGCCCGCTCGAGCGGCGCGCGCGCGCGCGCGCAGACCCGCCCCATCCTCCTCCGATGCCGAGGACGGTTCACAGGATGTCAACCTTGACGGTGTACCAGCGCGCGCGCCCCCTAGACGCGGCGCCGCCCCTCGAAGACGTCGTCCCAGACCCGAGGCGTAGACGCCCGCGCGCGCCGCGCCTGCGCGTGGATTCCCCGTGAAGGCGTCAATTTCTAGATATCATAGACCAATTCATGACACAATACATAACCCGGTGTCACGTATTCAAAATACCACGACACCCGTGTGCGTACACACAGTCGCCCACACAGTCGGCACACCGCGAAGCGCCGCGCGCACTCGTCGACGCCCGAGCGCATCGGGCGCCGACGTCTCTCGGTGCTCGAACGCGCGCGCGTAGGTGCGTGATAGTATTCGTCACGTTCTCGTTCGACGCGCGCCCGGTGGAGGCGTCGACGGGGGCATCGGGGACTCGTCCAAAAAGTCGGGCTGACGCGACGTCCCGACGGCTCGACGCGACGTGTGCGAGCGCACACGGCGCGTGCGTCGACGTGTACGTCCTCGCGCGCGGTTCGATCGATGGAGAGAAATTTTCTCTCGCGATTGCGCCCGCGATTGCGGTGAAGCGATCACGTCGCGCGTCGTGAGGACGAGAGAGCGCTCGTCGTCGGTTAGATTCCGGGAGGGTTTTCTGGTCGACGCATTCCGACGACTCGGACGATCGCGCGATCGCTCGAGAGGGGCGCGAGGGAGCGATTGTGATCACGGACGTTGAGTTCAGTCGTTCGAGAGCGGTGGGGGGAAAGGCGGCGACAGAGCACGAGCGACGTCGGGCGCGCGAGCCGTCGACGCGCGAGGGCATAGGTCGGGCGGGCAGACCGCGCGCGATGACGAGAGCTAAGAACGATGCTTGAACGGGGCGACTGACGATTGAGATCAATCATCTTTCGATAACAGGTAGAAAGGACGTAGAGAGGCGATGAGCGTGTGGGCGAGCATAGTGAGTGGCGGTGCCAAGGCCCCAGCGACAGAGGGCGAGAGTTCAAAGCCGGCGGAACAGAGCGCCGCGGCGACGACAAACAAGAGTGGTGATGCGCGCGCTGACGTGCGTGGGAACACGACTGCGAACGTGCCAGTAGTGAGTGATGATGTGAACGGTGAGAAGGAGAGCGCGCGCGAGGAGCCGTCTAAGCCCGCGTGGTCAAAGCCAGTGGCGGTGGGGCAAGGTCCGGCGGCGATGGCCGCCGTGAAACCCGTCTCTTGGCCAACACTCGGCGACGCGAAAAATCCGGATCTAAAGCCAGAAGAAGCGCCGAACGGGCGAGTGGGCGATGGTCAGCACGGTGACAGCCCGTCTGGATCGCATGGCGGTAAATCTGGCGGCGGCGGTAAGGGCAAGAACTCAAAGGGCGGAGCCGACAAGCAATCAGGAGGTCGAGGAAACGCCGGAGGTGGACGTGAAAACACCGCGGGTAGAGGTGGTAGAGGTGGCAGAGGCAGTAGAGGTGGCGATGCGAACAACTGGGGTAGAGGTAACGGACATTACGGTGGCGGTCGATTCTCGCATGAAGGTGGACGCGGTGGCCGAGGTGGCAGAGGCAAGAACTTTGATCCATCCTATCAATCGGCGTACGAGAGCGGATACTACATGCCGCAGGTCAATCAAATGTACTATGCCCCGCAGCACATCGTCTCGACGCAGGTGCCGCAACGAGATCAGATCCTCGGTGCGGTCAGGCAACAGGTTGAGTATTACTTCAGTGTGGAGAACTTGTGCAAGGACCTGTTCCTGCGCTCTAAGATGGATCCCAAGGAGGGTTGGATCGCCTTGTCCGTCATCGCGAGTTTCAACCGCATTCGAATGATGACGCCAGAACCCGCTATGATTTATGAAGCCCTGGTTGGATCGAAGATGGTTGAGATCAGTCCTGGGAACGACAAAATCCGCAAGATGGGAGACTGGGCCGCGTGGCTCCTAGATGCAGACGGCAAGCCGCAGAAAATGCCGCAGGGCGCTCCTCCGAGTGCATCAGCACTTACTCAGCAGATGGCTGGAGCGAGTCTTGGCGCTCAGTCCACTTCTGAGGAGAAGAAGGGATCAAAGTCAAAGCTGAAAAAGGATGAAGATGAAATGTTCGAGATGGACGAAGACTTTGACGGCGATGAGCGAGGTGACGATGACGACGATGATGACGATGATGACGATGATGATGACTACGAAGAAGATGATATGACGGATGGTGATGTCAATCGCCTCATGATTGTCTCTCAGCGTCCCGGTCGAGGAGGTCAAAACAGAGGTCGCCCGCCATCTGGATCGAACAACGACGTCGCGACTGTCATCAACGATGGTCTCGCCTTCTACCAAAAAGATCTGAAGGGTAAGAAGCAGACTTCTCACGTTGGATCTCAGGGTGGGAGCTGGCGCGAGAACACGGCATCTGGATCTTGGAAACGCGGTGGTGGATTCTCCGTTGGGTCACAAGGCCGAACGCACTTCTTCCCTTCCTCAGTGCCCAAAGGTGAAGGCTTCGCTGGTGGTAGCGATGTCGGTTGGTTGTTAGGTACGACGCCCACTGAGGGAGAATTTAACTGGAAAACGGGCGCTGGCTCCTCTTTGGGCTCTGATCGAGGCGGGGCAATGGGAACGTCGCCGGCTCAACAAGGGCATCATATCTCGACGGCTTCCCCGCGCGATATCCCTGCCTTCCAACATCCTTCTCACACGATCCTCGATGATAACGGCTTCAAGCAGCAAAAGTATAAGGCGTTCCATCGACGCGCCGTGGACGAGCGCAAGCGCCTTGGTTGTGGTAACAGTGAGGAGATGAACACATTGTTCAGATTTTGGAGTTATTTTTTACGCGGCACTTTCAACCAAAAGATGTACAAAGAGTTCTGTCGTCTCGCGGAGGAAGACGCTCGACATAACTACCATTACGGCTTACAGTGTCTGTTCAGATTTTATAGCTACGGTTTGGAGAAGCGATTCCGACCAGCGGTGTATCGAGACTTCGAGGAGTTCACCATGCTCGATTACAAGTCTGGCTCTCTTTACGGACTTGAAAAGTTCTGGGCTTTTCATTACTACTATCGAGGGAGCAACCGGCCGACCATTCGTGAAGATATCAAGACGCTTCTCGATACCAAATTCCGCACGCTTCAGGATTTCCAGCGCGCGAAGGAGCAGATGGCGCGAGCATGAGTGGCCCGCAATAGCAACAGCAATTATTTTTGGTTCGGAAACAAGCGGCTCTAGCTCCGTGTGCCACGTGGAATATTCGAAAAACTCAACAAGCCATGATGAATTATCGCATTACAAATCATTAGCGCGCCCTCTCTCGCGTCACTCCGGCGAATAAAGAATCACTACACGTCAAAGCCGAGATCATACAGGAAGTCGAGCACCGCGTCCTGTCCCGCAACAGCGACCGCCAAAGCGGTCAGGGCGAATACCACCGTGATTGGATCCACGTTCTCGATGGCATTCGTCAGGCTCTTTCGCATGACAAGCGTTTTGAGGTACGTCTCCCTCGAGCGACCGTCTGGGCCCACCTCGAGAGCCTTGGCCTTGGATTCGCTCCCGATGACGCGATATCCGAGTTTTTTATAAAATCCCTGCGCCCGCTTGTTCCTCGCCTCGACCACGAGCACGCACTCGTCAAACCCACGTTCGAGGCACAACTCCTCGAGCGATCGCATGATCGCCTTGCCGTATCCCTTCTTCCTCGCCCGTCTCGCCGTCGCCAGGTTCGCCACCACCGGACGCTCGATGAGCGCAGCCGTCTCCCCCTTCCCATCCCGCTTCACGTCTTCGTAATCTCTCGCCCCAGCGTACGTCCGCACCTCGACTCCTCCGCACGCCACGCACCCCTCGTCGTCCGTGATCACCCGAAGCGAATCGCTCGAACCGTATCGCCGTCGCATGTCCTTTGCGCACGCGCTCGTGAGCGACCGAAACTCTGCGTCGTCCTCCTCCTCCGCACCGTCGTAAAAGAACGAGCTCACAAACGTCTTCGCCGCGGTGGCGTAATCCGAACCCCTCGCGCGTTCGGGTTCCACCGCCGCGCGCGCGCGAACGGTCGAGCGCGGCGATGATGAAAAAGTGCACGAATGGTGACGTCGACAGTGACTCGCCATCGCGCGCGCGCGCGCGGGTGAACGCGCGACGAACGCGCTCGACATCGCCCTGGAAGTGATCGTTGTGACGCTCGTGCGCGGCGTCGGTCGATGGGGTGACGCGAGGACGTGCGATGAGGATTGATTCATTTTTTTTCAACAAAGACGTGTGCGTTGTATTAAAACGAAACGCCGTCTACACGGAGGCGCTCTTGAGCTCTGGGAAGAGGTGACGCATGAGTACGGCGCGACGAACCCCCGTGGTGTGACCCTCGTTGTATTTGTACACCGTACCGACGTCATCGTCCCCGGCGCGGATTTTGCGGGCGCGGTTGAGATTGCCGCCGGCGACGCCGAGGGCCACGCGCGCCTTGCGCTCGGATTTGAGACGCGCGGCCTCCGCGGAAGCCTCGGCTGGGGAAGAACGATCTGCGCTGATGACGATCGCGGTGGCGATGATCGACCGCAGACTGTTGTTCACTGCGCGTCTCGGCACGAGGTCGAGGTGTTGAGGCGCGGTGGGGGGCGCTTCGTCTCGCTCGCGCTGCTCCCGCCACGAGAGTCTGTCCAAAGTTTTCATGGCGTCAACGCCGGCACCAAATTTGACGAACTCGTCCACCGGAGGATCTAAAACCAACGTGTTAGCGGATACTCTCCACGATTTGTCGCCATCGACGTTTGCTGGCTTGTAAGACAACCGTGCGCGCGCATCAATCCCACAAGACGGTCGAGCGTGGCCTTTTCATCGCTCGTCATGAACGTCGTGCCCACGGATCGCAGTTCCGGAGCAAGGATGGAGTTCAGGTAAGGAAGCGTTTCAGTGACGTCCGACACAAGTGAACAACGCGCAATCTTTCCGTCGAGCGCTGAGCGTCGAGCACTGAGGGTGGCCATTCGGGCGTTTCGCTCCTTTGCTGCGCGTCCACTCTTCGGCCACACGAAGTCGTCCCCAAGCGCATCTGCATGCGAAGCGCATGAGTGCACAGTCAGAGCACACGTCTCGGCGTATTGACGCAGTGTATGATCTCCCGCGGTGAAAGACTTTGTTTGAAACATCACACCGTCGAGGACGGCGTTCATGGCTTGCGTCATGCGCCTCATTGTGCCGTCTTGGAAGCGAACCTTTGGAATGTTTTCAAACATTCCATCAAACACCGCATCGTTGTCTTGAAAGACTTCAATCTTCTCGCGCATCTTCGCCATGTGTGGATTCGATCCGGTCTCAGATTCGAGGCGAGACTTCGGAAAGGTGTGACGTCCACGTAAGCAATCTTGCCAAACCGTCAACGCTTGAGGCTTATTGTCCTTCTCGCCCGCTCCGGCATGAGCCACCTCTCGAAGCGTGACCTTTGAGCTAGTCTTCGCGATGAGTTGAATCGTATGCAATGCAGATCGAATGTCGTTATTGACCCGTTCGGCAACGAGAGCCACAGCGCGTGGTTCGACATCGACGTTTTCTTTGGCGCAGATCTCTCTGATGCGCCCGTTGAGCGTTGCATTTGGTGGTGGCTTGACTCGAATCACCTTGGCCACATCTCGAAGTGGCCGAAGCGATGTGCAATACAAATCGTTGCAAATGGCGATGATTGGTCGACTCAACGGCGCGCCTCCCTTTTGGCTCTTGAGCGCGTTCAACACGGCGTAGATTGCGCCTCGATCACCCCCGGCATTGTGCACACCGTCGATTTCATCGATAATGACACACTTGGGCTTCTGCTGCACAAACGCAGAACACGAATGCAAAGCGTCGGCCAATTTCACTTTTAACTTTGATGCGCTTCGATCATCCGAGGCGTTTATCTCTACCACTTCGTAACCGCAGTGTTTAGCCGCTATATGCGCGAGCGTAGTCTTCCCGACTCCCGGCGGACCGGAGATGAGAAGAATCTTCTCCATTGGTCGCTTCGTGGCGTCAAGCTGCACGTGCGTGTCCTCGCTCTTCAGAGGCCCCCTCTTCTTCAAACCGTTCCTCTCGGCGTATCGATCCGAATAGAATTTCTTCATCGTTGCCGGCGGCGGGTCCCGACCGAATACCACCTTATCCCAACCTTTAATCCAGTGCACAACCTCTCGATTAACATACTCGGAGCTCAAGAGGTCGGTGAAATTTCGCGGAGTGTGCTTCTGCGTCCACAGCGCCCCGCGCAGCTGCCCGCGTAGACGCTCCGCCATACGCTGTCCCGCTGTCTGTGGCTCTCTTGACGCCGCCCCCATCGCGCTCATGTCGATGTCCGCGTCCTCGTCCTCCCTCAGCGCCGCCTCTCGCGCCGTGCGATTCCGCTCGTCCTCGTACTCGTCCAACATGTCCTCGATCGGGCGCGACAACAGTGACACCCCAGGATCACCTCCTCTGCCGTAAATCTCCTCCTCGGGCACCAACGGCGTGTCTCTGGGCTCCATTTTCGCGTAAACCCTTCGTCCATCCCCCAGCGTGACGCCAACGCACTCGCCTTCTACGTCCACCGCGTTCGCCTTGAACCCCTCGTTCCGCGCTCGCGATCGCAGCTTCGTCTTACTCCCTCGACCCATCGCCCCCAGGCCTCGCGCGCTCGTCTCCGCCGCCATCTCTCGCACGTACGCGTCCAGATCGATCGTCGTCCTCTTCTCCGCCCGCCGCTCGCCTCGGTCCGACCCGTTCTCCGTCGCCGTCGATTCCTCGACCGTCTTACGTCTCTTCGCCGCCGACATCGAGCTCGGATCCGCACCGATCGCGTTCACCGCCGATCGATCGTTCTCTCGCGACCCTTCGTCGCGGTCGAGATCGTCGTCGGGAAAGAATCCGTTGAAATCATCGTCATCTTTTCCAATCCCACCCAACGTGTCAACCTCGTCGTTCGCGTCGACGAACGGCACGTCGACGTCGTCCTGGCGATCGATCATGTCGTCGAAGTCGAAAGCATCGTCGTCGTCGTCGTCCATGGTCACCGTCTCGCGCGCTCGAGGGGGGACGCGGGCGCGCTCGACGACGTGTGCGGTGGAGAGCTGTCTCGAGCGATTTGAAAAATTTGAATTTTCTATTTCTAGGATGTCAATCGACGCGACGGAACGCGCGCTGGACGTCGACACCGACGCCGATCGATGCGACGCCGACGCTGGGGAGAGATAGGAATAGGTTTAAACTATGGCGCTATGCTTATCGAGGTTTCGATGACGTCTGGAGGGATCGAACGACGTCGGAGGGACGGTTTCGGAGCGGCGAGAGCGCGGCGCGCAGACGTTCGGCGGCGCGCGTCATGGCGTCAACCTCGCGGTCAAGATCGAGCAGCGCTCTGTTGGAGTCTGTGGTTGTTATCGTGACGGACGCGCGACGACGCGACGACGACGTCATCGTCGGCGTCTCCGCGGTCTTCGTCTTCGTCCGCGCCTCCGCGCCGGTTCGCGTCGCCGCGTCGCCGTCGCCGCTCGCACCCACCCCGCTCGTCTCCGCGCGCTTCGCCGCGCGCTCTCTCAGAGCCATTAAAAACTCGCGCTCCGCCTCTCGCACGCACCGACGCATCGTCGTCGCCTCTCGTCTCGCCCGCCGTCTCGCGCTCTCCGCGAGCGCCGCTCGCGTCTCCAAACGCCATCGTCGCTCGTTCTCCGCGTCCCTCCGCCTCGCCGCGTTCGTCTCGCGATCGACAAACGTCGAGCTTTCCATCGACCCGCGCGCGTGTCCACGCTCGCGCGCTCGGCGATCGAGAATCAACGATCGATTCGACCCACGCGCCCCGCTCTCGGCGCAACGGTCCGTTCGAACGTCGCGTCCGCGCGCGCTCTTCGACGCGCGCGCGCGCGCGAGGACCGCGTCAACGCCCCGAGATAAAACCCCTCCGTCGCTCGCTCGACGCGCGTGCGACGCGCGCGCGATGGGACCGACGCGGCGTGGAATCAGCGCATCGAGAAGGCGGTCGAGCGAGGAACTCGACGCGACTCACTCGACGACGCGTCCCGCGAGCGCGCGTCGGCGCCGTTCGCGCGCGGAGGAGTTCGATTAAATTTTTTGCGCGTCTCTGACGTTCTCGCGCGCGTCGTTCGGCGCGCGCGTCGCCCAGAACGTCGCGAACGCGTCGGCGCCGTGTCGCGCGCGTGTCATTCATTCATTCTTTATTCGCGCTCGGCAGCGATCGATGCGCGTGCGCTCGAGCGATGGCGCGTGCACATCGCGCTCGAAATACGCTCGAGCGACGGTGAAGACGAACGCCGAGCGCGCGCGTGGACGCACGTGGGACTTGACGTTCATTCCGAACACGAGACGGAAGATGTCCAGGAGACAAAAGGAAAACTATCGCGAGTTATTCGACGCACACGGGATTCGATTCGACGCCAGGCCGAGAACTATGCGTGGGAGTGGGGATGATGGGTCTACGAGCGACGAAGCGTCGAGAATGAAGCGGTACGAGACGTTGGATTGGGACAGGGCGTTTCCTGGCGGCGGCGGCGGCGGCGGAGAGCCGCGGCGGCGCGTGTTGGAGCTCGGATGCGGTTTAGGGGATAATCTCATCGCCGCTGCGATCGAATTCGAAACATACGTGTTTTTGGGCGTCGAAGTACACAGACCGGGCGTGGCAACCGCTCTGGGGGAGATCGAGGCGAGAGGACTGACGAACGCGAAGGTGTGCGAGATGGACGCGCTCTGGCTCATGACCGGAGAGTACGTGGAGGATGCGTCGATAGACGAGTGTCTGGTGCACTTTCCCGATCCATGGCGCGACGAGAGTGGTCTCGATAGGAAAGCGCATCGAAGAATAGTGAACGAGACGCTTTTGACGTCGCTCGAGCGCACGCTGCGACCGGGCACGGGTCGACTGAGCGTCGCCACAGACGACGATCAGTACGCGCGTCATCTCGAAAGGGTGTTCGAGCAGTTCGCCCGCCCGAGAGGATGGGTACGATGCGACCCATTCGCGAGATTTGATTCAAAGTACGCCTCGCGAGCGCTCGAAGAGGGTCGGTCCTGTGTCGACGTTGGTTTTCGATTCCATCCACCGAGCGTCGACGTCGCGTGACGAGCGCGCTCTCTAGCGCCGAATCCGCGGACGCCATCGCGAACGATGCGTTCATGTAATTTATTTGCACAAAGATTCATCGCTCGTCGCGTCGTTCGAGATCGCGCGATCACCCATCTTTCGCTCTTTCCGTCTCGCGCCTCGCGGTTCCTCTCAAACCTCCGCGCTCGCGCCGCGCGCTGCACTCTTCGTCGTCCTGCGTGCGTCATCCATCGCGCCGAGCGCGCGATCGACGCCGCGGGTGCGTCTCCGTTCGCGCACCGCGTTCGCGGTCGATCCACGATCCTTCCCGTCGCGTTCACCGTCTCTGAACGCTCTACTCGAGCGACGAAACGGCGGCTGACCTGGGTGAGCCGTTGGATTCTCTTTCGCTTCGTCTTCATGCGCTCCACCGGTCCGTCGACGAAGCGAACGAGCTCGGCGTGGAATACCGAGAGTGAGCTCCGATGGCGACCGATGGTGGGAATCGTGATATGCGCGTGCGCGTGCGCGATGCACGGGTATCTCACGCTGGCGGTGATCGGGGCGTTCACTCCGGAGACGTACTCGACGGGATGGACGGGGGTGGATAACGCGCTGCGGGACGACCTCGCGCGTTCGGCGTTGCCGACGCTGATACCGGGAACGATTGCGTTCGTGTACTTTAATTGGCTCGCGGCGAGGTTCTTCGAGCACACGTAGAGGTGCGAGCTGGCGACGAGACACTCGCGAAACCGCCGCAAGCAAACGTTGAATTTTTTTTTTGTGCGGACGTCGCGTCGAGGCTCACTCGCGTCGGCGGGACGATGGACGTTCGTCTCGTCGCGGGGCTTTGACGCGCACATTTGGTTACGCCAGATATAAACCAATGGCGGGTTAACTGAGTACCCGTCGTTGACCTGTCTCGCTGGTACATTTTTCAGCGCCGCGGAGAGAGAAATTTTTACGCGTGGGGCCTTCACCCCGGGCGGTGCGGCGTAGACTATCGCCGGACGCGTCCCAAGCCCCGCGCAACAACCGAAGCGTGCGCCGTGTTGCGCGCCGGGTTCACCGTGCTCGGTCGCGTGTCTTAAAGTTGCACCGACATTTTTCATGTCTCTCCTTCGGGCTCCTCTGCCACGGTTTCCTGAGCTTTGCGCTGACGGTTAACTGTCCAAAGAGAGCCCTACATAGATTTTCGCCTTCATGATAGGAAGCCGTACTGTCGTCTTCGGGCGTGACTTTGCGGTGCCAACCGGGCGATTACATTCACTTTCGACCGACGTCGCTCAAACTTGATGATGAATCCGGGTGGAAGAGCCGTATGATCCGCATGCTTAGAAACCGACCCTACTTAAAGTTTGAACGGCGAAGAATGAGAGTCGAAGTTTCTTTGATCCGGGACTGACCGAATACATCTTGTTGAACGCATCGCAGACTATATATGTTGTATTGCTAAATTGCTTTGGCGCTTGGCGCTTGTTGAAATATTGTTTACACGTTATTCCCTAAATCGCTGAGCGCAGCTCGAGGTTGCGCCACGGGTGCGAGTGGTCGCTTTCCGTCCGCCGCGGTCTTCTGACGAATCCCCGCGTTTTCGTTCCCCGGCGTCGCGTACACGTCACCCTCCGTCTCTGCTTGCCTCGTCGCGTAGTCATGGAAAGAAATTTGATCGGCGCGCTCGTTCAGCTTATCGATGTTCGCTTTCAGCGATGCATCGGGACGAACTGGAGTGATCAGATTCGAAGGATTCGTCTTGGGCTTGGCCGGAGTTTTTCGGTAAGTCTTCGGTTTGGTCTTCGCCTCATTGAACGTCATCGTGGGCGTCGGCAGGGCCGTTTGCGGCATCACTTGCGTCACCTCAGCCAACTCATCGACCAATAAAGCAACTTCCGGATCAAGTTCGTTGATGCGCACGTGTTGCTGCAACGCTACGGCGAGAGCGGTCATCTTGCGCTTGAGGCTTCTTATGTCATCCGCCGCGTTTTCAAGCTCGAGTTGATGTACCGTCTCACGCGCCTTGATTTTCTCTTCGTGGTACTCTTCTTGCCGACTCAACGAACCGGCGAGCTCGTCACGTGCCTCCTCCGACTTTTGAAATCTGAGTTGGAACTCACTCAACGACTCCTGGAGCTCTTTCTGGACCTTCTTACTCGAACTAAGCTCTTGTTGGAACATGGCGAGTTGCTTTTGTGCCTTCACAATTTCACCCTTGATACGTTCGCACTCGTCTACCTTGGTCTTCAACGCCATCTCAAGCGTGGTAATCACCTCTGTTCCTTTGACTGCTTTCGTCCTATAGGTCTCAGCTTCGTTGGATTTGCCATGCAGTTGCTTCTTGAGCATTTTCAGCTCAGATTCACGCAACGTGACGACTTCTTGGTAATCGTGGATCCTGTTATCCATGTCCTCGCAAGTCTTTTGCATCTCCTTCATGAGCGCGCGACTCTCGCTTTCGACCTCGTTTGCGCTCGCTCGCTGTTCTTCGGCATCCGTGAGTGCGCTTTGAAGCTCTCCTTTCGTCATTTCCAGCTCAGCCTTCAGAGTACTGTTGGACTCCTCTGCGTGGTGCTCGAGCTCAGAGATGGAGTTGCACAGCGTAGCAATCTCTGCCTGAGCCGCCTCCCACTTCGCGTGCGTCTCGACTAGATCTTGCTTCAGAGCATCAATCTCTTGAGAATTCTGCGAGACAGTATCACTCTTCAACCGTTCGATCTCTCGAGTGAGCTCGTTGATACGTTGTTGAGAATGCGCAAGCTCGGCATTCAGTCGTTCAACCTCGGAATCATACTGCTTACGAATCTCATCCACGCGCGCTTCGGTCGTACGGTGGAGCTCCTCTAGCGCGATTTCACGCTGTCGCAATTCATTCATGCGCTTCGATATGTCCTTCTCGTCGCGCTCGGACTCTATTTTGAGATTGTTCAACTCTTCGTTGAAGTTACGTAACTTCTCGTCGCGCTCAGCGAGCCCAAACTCAAGTCGTCGCACGTTGGCTGTCTGCCTCTTCTCGGCGGACATGAGCTGCTTCACCAGCGCATCATTTTCCTCTAACCGCGTGTTTTTCTCGTTCAGCTCGAACTTGAGGGCGTAAAGCTTTTCCCGTAAGCTCTGAAGCTCAATCTCAAGTGGACCCAACTCGGTCGTCTTTGTGCGGTACTCGGCTTGAAGAGCAGCGATTTCTGCTTCTTTCAACTTAAGCTTGTCCTTACTCGCAGACAACAATGCATCTCGCTCAGCGATTTCATCTTGCATGCATTTGACGACCTTCTGCTTCTCCAAGCGCATCGCTTCTTGTTTCTGTTCCAACGCCTTAAGTTGTTCAGCAACTTCTACGTTTTCATCTAGGCCAGATGCTTGGAGTTGCTCAAGCTGATCTTGGAGTTGAACGACGTACGCGACCGCGGTATCGAGCTCGCCTTCTTTTTCCTCGATCAACTGTGCACCCTCACGAAGCATTTCGTCTCGCTCTTTCATCTCAATACGAAGAATATCGGCCTCTTGAGTGACCTCTTCGAGACGCTCTTCGAGAGCCATTTTCTCCAATGTGCGCTTCTCCACGAGTATTTCCAACGTATTTCGCTCGATTTCAATCTCACAGAACGCTTCCTCTGCGCGCTGCCGTTCAACACGTTCCTCTTGCAGACACTTTTCGAGCTCGCACTGTAGAGTCTCCATCTCAGCTTTCCTCTCCTCAACTTCAAGTTGCAAGTTCTTCACAGCTTGGCGTGCACGAGTGGCGTCCGCCTCTGCCTCTTGCGCACGTCCAGCGAGCTGTAATAGCTTTTCATGACTCGCGCGGACGCCACCACTGTCGTCATTTTGCTTAGAAGACTGATTTTTCGTCCTAATCTCGAGTTCTCGCTTCGCTTCATCCAGCTGGGCTCTCAACTTTGCAAGATGCTTGTCCTTTGCCGCAGCATCGAGCTCGGCTCGCTCCCGACTGCGCTCAGCGCGCTCGAGCTCGTCATCGAGCTCTTGCAAAATCGCGGCTTGATTTGCAATCGTAAAGTCACGTTCCTGAACCGCCGTGGCAGCGTCCTCTTTCACCTGCTCGAGTGCTCTGACGGCTGCTTCTGCGGCGCGTTTCTCTTTGCGCAGCGCTCGCGAGTGCTCCTCCTTGGCCTTTGACAGCGCCTGAGCCTGCGCTTGAAACGCCGCCATGTTCTGCTGGAGCGCGTTTCTGTCGGATTCTAATTTTTGCAATCGGTCGGACATACTCTTCTTCGCCTCCTCCGCCTCCTTTCGCTCCGCGTGCATTCTCTCCGCCGCCTCCTCTTGCGATTCGCGCAGTTTCGAAGCGAGCGCGGCTAGATGTTCCTTCTCCAATTCCACCGCCTTCAGTCTCGCTCGAACCGCTGGAGAGGGCATGGTATCGATCTCTCCCCGTCTTGACGTCCCAGAGAGCGAGAAATACGAAGAACCCGCTCGCCGCCCGTTCGGCGTCTTCTCGCTCGTCGACGCGCCGCGTTGTCCCCCTCTGTCCGCGCTCGTCGACACCAACCTCGACTCGAGCGTCCCGATTCGTTCCTCGGGCGTCGTCGCGCCCTCAAACCGTATCAAATCACCTTTTTCGTCGTCTCGTGCGCTCCGCGTCGGCGTCGTCGTCACCGACACACTCCCCTTTCCCTCCGCGCCCGGCGACGAAACGCTCGCCCCTCCCGCGCGCGTCTCTCGTTTCCTCTCTCCCTCTCCGTGCTCCACCGTCCATCTCTCCGCGCGCATCCCATCGTTCGCGTCCACGCCCGCGCTCGCGCGTCGCCTGGAGTGTTTCGCTCGCCACTCCGCCAACAACGCTTTCCGGTCTCGACCGTTCGCGCACGAGAGCGGTTTAAACGTCCCTCGCGACATGTGTGCGGGCGCCACGCGCGCGGTCGACGCCCGGCGCCGTCGACGCGAGCGAGGACGCGCGCGGTGGGCGTGCGATCGACGCGCGAGGTCGTTTGCGGGACGCGCGCGCGCGAGCAGCGGCGGCGACGGCGGACGAGGTGAATGCGTGGGAAATCACATTCAAATCAAAATCGTCCCACCGTGTGCGTCTCGGGTGTGTAGACATCCAGGACGTACTCTATTACACACAAGCCCGTGAAGGATTGGAAAATTCATACTCCGCGCCGGGTCGACGAGACGCACCGTCCGGCGACTCGGACGCGATCGCGCCCGGACGATCGCGTGACGGCGCACCACACGTGACCACCGCGTCGTGAATGCTGGTAACCGAAGCGGAAACCGTCTCGAGAGGGCTCGAGGGGGGGGGCGATCTCATCGAGCAGCGGGGCGACGCCGCAGCACGCAGAGCCGGTGACGGGGTCCTCTTCGATTCCGACGAGAGGGCCGAACCAGCGCACGCAATACTCTGGACGCGCGCCGGAAGCAGATAGAGGAATGTCTAGACCCGCGGGCGTTCGAGGAACGACGACGCAGACGCCGCGACCGCCGACGAGGGCGATATTTTCGAGGCTCGGTTTCGGAAGCCGAAGGTACGCCCGAGCGACGGAGTCGCACGCGGAAGCGTCGTCTGATCTCGAGCTCTGAATCACTAAAAACGTATCACCGATAGAATTCCTACGCACCGTGAACTCGGTGTTCGCCAAGGACGATTCGATGTCGTCTTCGTCCGAGGCGAACGCGCTCGAGGACTCGAACGCGTCTCGTATCGTCGCCAACGCCACGTCCGAGCCTTCAAACGACCTCGGTGCGCTCGCATCCATCTCCATGATGAACCGCGAAGGATCATTTGCGTCTCGTTCGATCGTTATCTCGCCATCTCGATACGTAAACGAGATCCCTGGTCGAGATGCGCTCTCAAACTCGAGCGCTCTCGACGCCGTCGCCATGGAGGCGTGCCCGCACAAACCAATCTCTTGCGTCGGCGTGAACCATCGAATGCGATATTCCGCCATTGAATTCGAATTATCGTCACTCGAGAGCGGTTTCTCGCGAATCGCAAACGCGGTCTCGCTCAGATCGAGCTCGGTGGCCAAGGCTTGGTACCGCACCGATGCCTCTGAGTGCACGTTGAAGAAATCATCGAAAGCATCGACGTCGTCGTCACCCGGACGATTTCGATGGACCACGCACACGGCGGCGGGATTTCCCGTTCGCGGGTCATCACCCACCGCGAACGCCGATCGCAGGACGTACGCGTCCGTCATCGGCGACCGAGGCGTCGAGATGTGTCGAAATCCTGGACCCTAACCACCCACGCGACGCACGACCTCGGGCGTTCATTTCGTTGATTCAAATTCAAATCCTCGAGCGCTCGAGCGCGGACGCGGACGCGGCGCGGCGCTTTGGTGGAGACATCGCGAGAAGGTAAAGGGTTCGATGGAGCAGAAACTGATGTCACAACAAATATTCGACCTCGCAAGCGCGCGAGGACGCTCACGAGAGCGGGATCGAGGGGCTCGGATGCGCCGGGCGCACGGCGAGAGCGCCGAAAGCGTCCACGGGAGCGCCGAGCTGAGGGACGCTACTGGCGCCGAGAACGACGCGCCATTGACATATTGTCATATCCGCACCCACTGTGATGAGATAAGAGTCATCGAAGAGGAATTTGCACTGCGTGATGGGGCCCGAGTGCGCACCGAAACAGCGCGGAACGGCGCCACGATGGCACGGGTATTGATACAAACGCAGCACTCCTCGAGCATCTCCAGAGGCGACAGCTGTCCGCGTGTGCGTGCGATCGCAGCAAGTGATATCCTCTCCAGTCGATGTTTGAGGTATGATGCCCTGAACCGGCCATCCCACGACGCTTGTCCACGTGTGCCAGTCAACATTTCGCAAATCGTGCGGAAACTTAACTTGGGCCCCATTGGGCATCTCCCAGAACATGATCTCGCGATTGGAGGTCGAAGACTGAAGCAACGCGCTATCCGACGACCAGTCGATATGTGTTACTTTCGCGCTGTGCCCCTTTGACACTCCGATGCGACTATACTGCTTCGAAATATCGTAGATGTCGATGGAGTGCTCGTCCGAGCCGACAGCGAGATATTGGCCATTCGGGCTGTACTTGAGCACCCCAATCGGTTGTTCGCGGTCTTTCCTGAGATGCACCGTATCCAGAGAGTCCGAGCTCAAAATAACAATCCCGCCTCCCGACAAACCGACAGAAATATGCGTGCCATCGGGATGGTAGGCGACCGAGCGTGCCTGCGCACCAAGGGCTCGAGAAACAAACAGTCGTCTCGATGGCACATCCCAAATTCGAATCGTGCTATCGTCACCGACCGTACAAATCTGATGATCGCTAGGGTGAACGTCTAATCCCCAAATGGTACCGTACGCATGACCCTGGAAAAGCAAGTTGTACGAATAAGATGTAGTGTTCATCTCGTAAACCTCTCCAGAGCGCGCACCGAGAACCAACATCTTACCGAGCAAGTGCATCGATTTGATGCACGCTTTCGGAACGTAAGGATGCTCGATGGTGACACTGCGAATTAGCATGCTCAGATCAGCGGTCCAGAATTTCACGATACCCTCAGATCCAGCCGAAATCAGAGTATCTCGCGTCGCAACGATGGACTGCGTCACCGTGTGTACTCGACGAGCATTGGTGCCAAGCTGGTATCCACGGAAAAGATAGAGGGATCCATCTTGTGTACCGACGATGGTCGTGTCTGCGGCGGGGAACCCGATACATAACGCAGTTTGGATGGTCCCATGCTTAGAGAAGACCGCCTTGCGCCCCTTCAAGGGGTTCGTTGCCCAAAACACGCAGTGTTTCACACCTGCGGTGACGATGTAGTCCTGAAACGGCGACCATGCGATCGAGACAATTTTTTCTGGACTCCCGCTGCAGCGAGAAATGAGCTCTCCCGTTTTCCAATCATACAGACCGATCTTGTGATCTATGTCGCAATCGACAGCGCATAATTTCGAGCCATCGCGGGAGAACGTCGCTGAAACGATGGCCGTTTTGAAATATCCTCGAATAATGGTGACCGGTTTGGCCAGCATGTTAGCACTCCAAACGATCAACTTTGGATTTCTTCCGACCTCACCACTGGCGAAAATCATCCCGTTCGGGTGTCTCGTCAAGCATGTGATGTCAGCGGTGTGCCCTTGTATATGTTCTGCCGCAGGATTCGTCGCCATGAAGTTTTGAGTGTGCGTTTGTCTGTTGTACACGACGTTCAGCGAGGCCGTTGGGTACACTACGTCGCCGAGAGCAGTATAAAATAGATTATTTCTCGAATCGTACGCGCGGAATCCGTACGTAGCTTCGAGCGTGACCGATTCCATTGGTGGATTCAGAATATCTGCATCACGTTCGTAATTGTCGGGAGCGAACACGCTTGACGCACAAGGAAGGAAGGCTAGTCGACTTCCTGGATCCAATCCAGAGTGGGAAGGAATATCTCGTGAGGGTGTGGCATCGAGAACGCTCGCTGGGACGTACTGCGGGATCCCTCGTACGTGTCCAATGAACACCATAGGCGTGGCCACAATTGCAGCGCTCGACTCGGTGTAATTTTCCACAGATGTGAAGACTTCCTCTTCAACGTCACTAGTCATCTCTTCATCACCTTCATCGGGTTCGTAGTGTCTCCACTGCAAGGTTGTTCGATCTTCGCCACCTATCGTGATCAAGAACTCGTCGTTGAAGCTGAAGCAACACTTTGTCACGTGAAAACTATGCCCGACGTACGTCTTGTGATCGCCTCGACCAACGTCATTAGGATATCTGAATAGACGTACGATGCCATCTTCGTTTGTCGTCGCGACTACACGACCGTCTCGACTTCTTGCGCAGCTCAGTACATCCGTGCCATCGCTGTGCTTCGGCCACACGCCCGTCACGGGCCAACCTGCCACACACGTCCACGTTGCCCATTGCACATCTTTTAACGCGGCAGAAAACTCAATCAGCTCACACGTGGGCATCTCCCAGAAAAATAGCTCGAAATCTTGTGAATTACTCTGCAAATATTTACTGTCTTCGCTCCAATCGAGGTGCGTCACCGGAGCGCTGTGGCCTTTGCACACACCAGCACGTTTGAAATCGCACGTTGTATCGTACACGTCAATGAAGAAGTCATGGCTCGCCACTGCGAGCCAACGACCATCCGGACTGAACTTAACGTCACTAATTATCGATCGACGATGCTTTTTTGCCGCGACTTCAGCTCCTGTCTTCTCCTCGTACACTAGGAAGCCACCTCCATAGAAACCGACAGCAATATATTTGCCGTCTGGGCTATACGAACAAGATCGAGCGCGGCTGGCGACACTTCGTGCGCTAACTTGCCGCCTGAGGTACATGTCGTACGCGCGCACCGTCTTATCGTCACCTGCGGTGATGAACTTAGCCTTGGAAGGATGGCAATCCAAACCCCACAGCTCCGCACTGTACGACAGAGTCGCGCTATTGACAGCGTTTGCGTGCCCTTGTGTGATGATACGCCTGTTTCGCTTCCAAGCATCCTCAGTGCTCAAATCGAACTCATACAGCTCACCCGTGGCAGTACCGACCAAGAGTTGAACGCCTGATAGATGCAGAGACCTCACACAAGGCGCACGGCCATCGTAATAGCACACCGGTTTACCGTGCTCGTCGATGATGCTCTCCGCCACCTGACTCATGCTGATTGTGAACACTTTCTCCATGTACTGTGTGCAAAAGTTGATCTTTCCGTCGCCTCCGCCGGTAATGACGTAGTCTTCGGTGACAAAGATGTCGTACACCGGACCTTGATGGACGAAGTCGAATTTCTGTATGCACTCCTCCCCCCCGTCCGCCCACTGGTACACGGTTCCGTGCTGTGTGCCAGTGAACGTACTCCCATCCTCGCCGAAGGCAACGGACAGGAGCGTGCTCGGTTTCCCTAATCGTCCGTATACACCGTTCTTGCCAACTAGATATCCGTTTTCGACGATCCAAAACTTGATGTGCCGCTCTCCAACGGTGACGATACGACCGTCGTGTGGATTGTACGCACAGTCAAAAATCCTCTTTGTGTCCCCTTTTGAGTTTGCCAGGACCTTCTTGTTCTCCCAGTCGTACACCGCGATGGAGTGCTCGTCGTCCAGTCCAACGGTGGCGAGAAATTTACCCGTGGCGTCGAAGCTCAAACTCGTCACCGCTCGCTGATGGAATCCACGTAACTCGGCTAAGACTTCTCTCGTCCTTGTGCTCCACACGCACACAACGGGATCTCGTCCAGCCTGGCCCGTGGCCACGATGTCGAGATCTGGGTGCACGGCTAAACACAATATATCATCCCCGTGAAACGTAAAGAACTCTTGCGTGTGTTCGTCTCCGTCGTACACAATCCCACACGCCGCGCTAGCGTAGACGATTCTCCCGTCGGCGTTGTAGATTCCGTTATTCCGCGCGTCGTGTCCTCGGTATCCGTACGCAAAATCCAGCTCTAAATCGTTATCCGGTGCCATGTGCGCGTTAAAAGCCGTCGCGTGCGACGTTGGGGCGTGCAAATCGTCCCCACACGCCTTTCTTGCCAAGAAGGATTCTCGCGCGCTCTTCGCCACGCCGCTCTCCGCCGGGTGATTCCTCCGTCCATACCGCTCTCTTCTCAGTGCTTCCACGTCGTCGACGTCGAACGTCGCCGAGGAGGAAGCACCATTAATGTTGATTCGATCGTCGTACTCACCGTCCGCTGAATCAGCGCGATCGTCGTCGTCGTATCCGTCCGAATAGTGCGAATCATCTTTCTCACTCCGCCTCCCCGCGTCCCCCTCTCGGCGTTCTCTCCGTTGTCCGCCTCGCTGTCGTCCGTTGGCGTCGCTCAGGGCGTCGTTGGACGGCGCTTTCTGTTTCCTAAGTCCTAACTTTGCCAACATCGGTGACGACGCCTCGACGAGTGCGGGGCGGTGGAGAGAATCAATCGAAAACGCGCCAACGCCCGCGGCCTCTTCCTCCGCTGGTCGCAGTCGGGCTCGCGCGAGCGCCGCGAAGAGACCTCTCGCGCGGTGCGAATGATTATGAAACGATAGATTTGTGAATGAAATATAATGTACATGAATCAATGACGGCTTCAACGCACGGCGAGCGTCACTCGAGCGACAGCCCTTTGGAAGGCGGGACGTCGAGACAGTCGCTCGGGACGAACAACTGAAGACCGAGTCGCCAGGCGTCAGCCGTCATCCCGCTCGGACAGTGCACTGACTTCACTCCGAGAGCGGCGACGTCAACGCAGTTATTACGTTCGTTGTCGAAAAACAGCATGTCCTCGAAACGAACGCCCGAGAGCTCGCGAATGCGCTTGAAGTGATTCGCCTTGGTGCCGCTCGCTATTTCGACAAAGACGCAGCACCTGCTCATTGGGGCGCCGTTGATCTCGAATTTATCCATCAAATCGCGCGCCCATTTGCCTCTGTGGGTTCGAGACGCGATTGCGATGCGACATCCGCGCTCGATAAACTTTTTGTGCGTCAGCGTCATCGCCATGCTTCCTCTCGCCGAGGCGTACGTACCGATGACGTCGCCCGAGCCGTCCTCGCAGTGTGCCTTTGTGAGCTTCTTAAACGGCGCTCCTCCCCTGAGCATGTACAGTTCTGGGAACCACACGGTGTCGTCGAGGTCGTACACGATGAGCGCCGGCAAGGACTTCGCCTCGCACCGTTCGCTCGGGGACGCCAGTGGGATGTCTGCGTCGTCCGCTTCGGCGCCGACGTCGTCCAGGAACGCGATCTCCTGGTGCTGAACAATCTTCGGTCGAGGCCTAGCGGTGACTTTCCTCGAACGCAACGCGTTCGCGCTCGACGGTCGCCCGCTCTTGGCGCGCAGAGAGAAGGTCGAGCGCGCGCGCGCCATCGCTCGCAGAGGCGCGCACTGCGGCGGAGGGGAGCGAGTACGCGAAAGCTAATGATATTACACTAATGCGAGCGAGAAACGCGAGCGTTGAATATTTGCGGGCGTCAGTCGATCGTACGCGTGAGGACGACGCGAATGACGTACGCGAAGCGAGCCACGACGGCCGCGAGCAGGGCGTGGATGAACCATCGAGCGATGCGCGAGTGAGAGACATCGACGGAGTCCTTCGTGAGCTCAGCCTGACGTCTTTTACGCTCAAAAAACGCTATCGCGTCTTTGACTTGATCGTCTTCTAGGTCAAGACCGAGATCTCTCGCCCGAGACCGATGGCTGTCGCGAATCTCGTCACGGACACGAGACGCCAGCTCTGCGTGAAAAGCGCTCGAGTCAACGTCAAATCCCATCTCTCGCGCCTTCGCCTTGAGTTCATCATCCAAAAGTATCCGGTCGCTCTCATCGTCTGATTTGATACCACTGCTGTCTCTCGACCTCGACTCGGTCTCGTCATAAATCCCCCGTGTACTCGAGAACATCTTATTGAAGACGGCTCGCCTCTCACCACGCTCCAACGCCATGTTTTTTATATGCTGCTCCAGTGCCCGCACGTAGCGCTTCTCCTCGGGCTCGATATCTACCGCGCGTTTCAAATCATCGACCGCCTTCTCCATAGCTCCCTCTTCCTCCATCACCGCTCGCGCCTTGCCGCGGCGATAATACGCCGCCGCGCAGTTGCCATCCACTCGAAGCGCCTGCGTCGTTGCCCACTCGATCTCCCGCGCTCTGCGACGTAGATCTTCGTTCATCATGCAAGCTGCGGCGTTTAGCATGATTCGTTTCACCGTCTGTGCTCCTTCGTCCATCGTTGATGTCGAGAGATGATCAACATACATCAGCTTCTCCGTCCCGCTCGGCCGCGTGAAGTGGCAAAATGTAGCCAAAGCGTCGGAGTACGCCTCCAGCGCCTGTTCGTGATCGTTTGATCGCGTCAGAGCGTTCGCTTGATCGATCAGCGCGTTTGCGAACATCACGCGCTCGTTCACGGGTTTCATTCGCGCTCTTTCGTACTCCTCGTCTCCAACTCTCGATACTGTGTTTCGCACGAACTCCGGAGCTCGAGTGAAATCTTTCCTCTTGGACGCCAATACGTTCGCCTTGAGCTCCACTGCGGCTCGAAGGCACGCGTCAACGTCTATGACATCCTCACGCTCGTCTTCGCCGGAGGACATGGGCGCGGACGAGCGTCGAGTTGTGACGCGAGAGACGCGTCCTTTGAGTCTTCGAACGCTTTGCGCGCTGCGCTAGACACTCAGATGACGCCGATAAGTATCGACGCGATCGCTACTACAACGACTAAATGAGCTAGTGAGAAATCCATCGTTCGTCTACGTCTCGCCCTGTGCTCGCTCAAGTTCAAGCCATGGATCGACGAGCATGGTTGCCTGCAACAAGCGAGAGTGACAACAGTCAGTAAAATTTTGTCACACGGAAAGAAACGACGACGCCACGAGAGTCCAAAGAGGTGGGTTCAAACGTCCGCTTGAATGCGTTGACGTCACGCACTTTGTAATACGCCGCCGGATCGAGCGCGCTGTGTCGCTCGGTTCGCGGAGCTTTGCGCCCGCGCGGTCCGCCGCTTCCACATCGACCTCTGCCGCCTGAGAACTCGTGCGTTCGCGGACGAGGTGGCGGCGGCAACGGTGGTGGGGGTCGACCGACGCCACCTGAAGGTGCGCACGTTCCATCTCCCGCGCCGGTGTAAAATCCACCCCAAGAGCCGCCGTCGCCGTTTCCACGGTCGATAAACGGTGCGGGAAGAGTCATTGTTCGAGCACCCGTCGACGACGGGTCGGTACTGGACGAGGACGCGGCGTCGCGCATCGCTCGTAAACGCTCCGCGCGTGCTTTTGCTTCCTCCATGATCGTCGCTCGGCGAAGCCCACACCTCCGGGCTCGCGCCAAAGTATGTGTGTCCGCATGCAGGAAGAGTCAACTGGTGGGCAACCGCCGCGGGACCACACTAACTTGTTTCCAAGTTCGGTGAAGTCGTGCGTACGGCGCGTCAAGTCACCGCCTATTGTCACTAACTCAGTCGTGACACTACATTTCGCTAATTTTCATGCGCTTTCGCGTTGACAGTAACAGTTGGCGCAAGCAAGTTCCGAACAGAGCTCAGAAGACATATTCCTAAGAGTGAACAAAAAGTGTTAGACGGGAACAAAAATCGCTGGAAAAACGCATTACCCGACACTTAGCTTCCCCGCATTGACAGTTGATCTTCTTCTGCAGTTTGGACGCATCTTCAATATGAGGGACGTAGTCTATGCACAGCTCCTCCCCGGCCTACGTGGAGGTGTAAGTGTAAATATAAATAATAAATAAATTCAGGAAGGGAATAGTGCTTTAATCTTCTCGACGTTGCCAAGCGCGTGGTCGGGCGTAAAATGAAAAGCAAGTGGACGGACCTCAATGTCTCTGACGGCCATGAAGCACACGCGCGGAACAGCCGTAAAAACGTTCAACACCTACGAATGGAAATAATTAATAAAAGGCGGCGAAAAAGATTAATCACAGAGCACGAAACTAACCTCTTGAAGGTCGTCAGACAGCAACAACTCGACCGTAGAGACGTTAGGACAGCAACTGTGATTGAGAAAACGACCGATATTGCCATGAGACGTGGGGTCTATCGTGAATTGCGCGTGAGAAATGTGTTTCTTTAGTCCTGCACAGGAATTAAATAAAATATTTGTTTCAGTCCTCAGAACGATGGCTTTCGAACACTCAAAGCACGCATGGAGTCGTGCACGTACCATGGATATCATGCATGTAGTATTTCCTACGAATCAACGAGATTGAATCAGCGTGGTCTTTGTTTAGAAATTAATTAATTAATTCGTACCCGTCAGCAATATACTTGCGCTCTCTCACATACGCCTCTGACCGATTAATGATCTCTCTGAACGCGCCGAAAGTCAGAAAGAATGTGTCAAGCCATTAAGGAAGCGTACCCAGCATATTCGAAAAGGAAGGCTCCCCTTTGAATGTTTTCACGAGCAAAAATGCCAAAACCTTTTTTGGGAGTATTTTTCACGTGGAAAGAGTGAATTATTTTATTCATCTGTTGCGACGTTCCGGTCGGCTTCATTGTGTTCATAAAGCAACAATTGACTTCAAACGCACCGTCAACGCCGCGCTGGGACATGAGCCGCCGTTAACAGCGTGTAAGTCCGACGATAAACTGGCAAGTCGTCGCTGCACGAATTAATTAAATAAAAGTGTTCGCACAACAATTGACTCGACTTACGCCCAAAGCAGAATGCATATGCTTGCAAAAGCAAACAGCTTTCTCTGCGCACTTCTCCGTTTCACCATCAAGGTGTCTCTGTCAAGCAGGAGAGATGTCAGTCAACATGAAGCGTTTGAGGATGTCCCAGAGTTCTCACCGCGCTACTGTAACAGAATGGGCTGCCAGGAACTTCGCTCGGCAAACACTCGCCCATCACGTTGGGTTGCCACTCTACCGCCGTATCCGGGACTGGCAGCAAGTAGCGCGGTCTCTCAGCATCTACGACTGCGTCCTCCTCCTTCACAACAATGACTCGTTCCTTTTTGTGCCTCGGAGCGGCGAGCGCGCAACGCCCGTCGCACGTTGACGCGAGGCAATAGACCGGCCCTTTCGGCTCGAAACCTGGTCTTCTCGCCTGTATCGTTGGAAGAATTCATACGACGGTGTCAGTCTCGACCAGTGCTAAAGGCGCAGCACATGATGACGCAGAAGCTCGGAGTCGAGCCCGACAGTTTTGCGCACCTTGTGAAACAACGCTGGGCCGATTTCGATTAGAGTCTCGACATCGATTTGGCACATTTCATGAGGATCCCAATCGTATAGACCCGTCACCCCGATGTCCTGCGACGGTGGACGAAGCGTGCGGTGTGGTCAGCAAGTGTGGAAGTTTCTCGAGGCTCTCGCCGTGAGCCCGTTAGAAATACGCACCTCCCTCTCCGATTTCGGTTCCCATGGACGCAACCACCGCACAGCGAGCTTACCATCATTCTTCGATTTGATCTACGCGTTCGTTTGAGCAGTCAGTCTCCGATCGCACGCGACGCGTTCTGTTCGTCTCCGCCTGTCTGGAAGTGACAGTTGCCTCGCGCACGCACCTGTCCCTGCCACTTTTCTGGCTCTCCGCTCTCGATGATGCAGAAATCGTTCACTCGACAGTTCTATTGTTTGTCGTTCATCGTCTTCCGTCAGTCTCCATCGCACCCGTTCGTCCGCGCCCTGAGACGCGCGGTCGGTCGAGACTCTGCGTGTCAAAAACAAACGCTCGCTCTCGTCCTCAACGCTCGCGGTCGAGGTGACGTACGTCGTATGTGATGATCTCGTACGTGGTTTCGTCCTCCGTCATGTCGTCCCACGCGATGCCGTCGTCGCGCGATGCCGTCGTCGCCGTCGTCGCCGCGTCCGTTCGAACGACTCGAAAGCCGCGCGCCCATCGCATCATCTCATGCGCCCATCATCCATCGACCGATGCGCTCATGACCTCGTCCACGCGCGGTGGTTCGAGAATGGTCCGCGTTTCCCCCAATCCATCAGTCTCACTCGCGCGTCGTCCATCGACGCCGATGACGTGTGTCATCGCGTGCGGGCCCTCGGGAGGGTGTTTGATCGGGAAAGAATACGTTGAATACGGACACGCGCACCCACCGCGGGCGCCCACGCGCGGTGCCACCCCTGTGCCGCGCGCGCGTCAGCCGCGTCAGTGCCTCGGGCGCGGTGCGAGGCGATGGCCCCGCGATTCGCGACGACGACGACGGCGCGGGCGACGCGAGACGTCCGGGCGAACGCGCGATCGAGGCGCGCGCGCGATCGCAGACCGGTGTCGAACGACAAGGCTCGACGACGAGCGCAACGGGGGCATCGACCGCGAGCCTCCGCCGAGGAGGAGATTGGGCAGGATGTGGAGAACGTCGTCATCATCGGTAGCGGACCGGCGGGGTACACCGCCGCGATCTACGCCGGACGAGCGAACTTACGACCGCTCGTGTTCGAGGGTTTCCAGGCGGGCGGCGTCCCGGGCGGGCAGCTCATGACCACGACGGAGGTGGAGAACTTTCCGGGTTTCCCAGAGGGCGTCACCGGGCCGGATCTCATGGATAAGATGAGACAACAGGCGGAGAGATGGGGCGCGGTAATGCACACCGAGGACGTGGTCGAAGTCAATTTCACCGCTCGCCCGTTCACGATCTCATCGAGCGAGAGAACGGTTCGGGCGAACAGCGTCATTGTCGCCACGGGGGCGACGGCGAAACGACTCGGAATCCCGGCGGAGCAAACGCTGTGGAGTAAAGGGATCAGTGCGTGCGCGATTTGCGACGGTGCGAGCCCAATTTTCAAGGACGAGGAAGTTGCGGTCGTCGGTGGTGGAGATACTGCGACGGAAGAGGCGGTTTACTTGACGAAATATGCCAAGCACGTGCACCTCCTCGTGCGTGGCGACGCAATGCGAGCGAGCAAGGCGATGCAAGATCGCGTGCTCGAACACAAAGCTATCACCGTTCACTACAACACGGAATGTATCGATGGTTCGCCGAACAGTAAGGGTAACCTAGGCTCGCTGGCGTTGCGAGATACGAAGACTGGTGACGAGCGGAAACTTAACGTCAAGGGGTTGTTCTATGGCATCGGTCACACGCCGAACAGCAAAGTTTTTGGCGAGCAGCTTGAACTCGATCAAGCGGGCTATGTTGTCGTGAAGGAAGGAGCGAAGACATCCATCGAAGGAGTGTTCTCGGCTGGAGATATTCACGATAAGGAGTACCGTCAGGCCGTCACTGCCGCAGGGTCCGGGTGCATGGCCGCCATCACCGTGGAACGCTATCTCACCGAAAACAATCTCCTCGTTGAGTATCATCAAACGAAGAAAAGCCAAATGAATGAACAAACTGACTCCATCGATGAAGAAGAGAAGGCTATCCTCGGTGAGAACTCCGATACTTTCGACATCAATATTCAAAAGCACTACGGTCAATACGCACTGAGAAAGCTCTATCACGAGTCGGATCGCGTCTTGCTCGTCATGTACTCGGCGCCCACGTGCGGACCGTGCCGACGCCTTAAACCGATGCTTGATAAGGTGACAGCTGAGTACGGTGATAAAGTTCACTACGTTGAGATTGATATCGCGGCAGATCCTGAAATTGCAGAAGCAGCTGGTGTCACTGGGACGCCGACCACACATATTTTCTACGAGAAGGAGCGCTTAGAAATCTTATCTGGCGTGAAAATGAAGAGTGAGTACCGTCGTGTCATCGATAGCGTGTTAGGAAAGGCCGTTACCTCGGAAAAGAAGGTCACCATGCAATCGCCGCAGGGAGATGATGCGAAGAGCGAGGTTCGAGCAAGATGATGACTCACTCAATGAGCACTGTTTTAGAAGTTGTAACTCATGCCCATTGGCAGTCAAACCGTACTCCGGAGCCTCCGTCCCATCGCCAGCAAGCGGAATGATGACTAGAAATTTACGATAACTTTCAACTACTTACTACTTTTACTAATAACCACTTTTTGCGGCGCACCGACGTCCATGTGCATGTTGTCGAACGCAATGCATAAGAGCGGCTTCGCCGTGAGCACGGTTGATAACGTTCCTCGATCAGCCACGCCTTTCGTCTCGACCGGGGTCTCAACCTTGATAGGCGAACTAAGTCTTATGTTTGCACGCATGCGCAAAGAATACTTCAGCAAGTCTGGAATCGATTTTGTCTTGCCGCTGAAGCTCGGGAGAAACATCGATATCCGCGGTCCTTTCACCTTTGGCTCATTTGGAAACCTCAAATCGCACACCTTTTTCTTATCCTCAATCACGGACACTGACGCTAGATTCTCATCTCGTTTCTTCGATCGCCACCACCCTCTACTTTTACCCTTGTCTCCGGCGTGTTCGTTCTCTCTGAACTCCACCGCGCGCGACGGCAAGCCGCACGTGCGTATCCCGTGCTCGCGCGCATCCTTACTATCGACGTACACCCGCGTCGCCCACGCGCACGATGTCGGTGGATTCCAGCACAGACCTCCTAAGACGACGATCTCGTCTAATTTCCCGCACGGTGACTCGTCGTATCGCGCGGCGTAGAGTCCACCCAAGGTCCAACCAAAAAAGTTGACCAAGGGAAGATCGTTCGGGACGTGCGCCTTTGCGTCGTCGACGCGAACGAGTGCGAGCTGATACAGCGCCTTACCGCGAAAGACCCAGGGTGGGGGATCGTCGTAACCCATCTCCCGGTTTTCCCGCCCCACGCGCGCGCCGCGATGACGACGGGACGACCACGGACGCGCGCGCGCGACGAGACAGCTCGCGAGACCGCGTTCGTTTTTTTTGTATTTTCAAGCCACGACGGGGCGACCGCGGTCGGTGGGCTGGGCGTTTTCAATTTATGTCCACGCATGGTATGTACGACAAAGAGTTTAATCGTATGCAATACGTGGTACCCAAACATACTCTAGGGTTTTGCGCAAGACGACCCCGCGAGACGCGCGCGCGTTGGACCCCGCCCGACGGAACGATTCGGACGTAACACGCGCACGAGTCGTGAAGCTCGTGCACTCACGTGCTCGGCGCAGCTCAGATCTCGCCGTTCTCACGAGCGGGCGCGTTCGTAGTCTCCCGGGACGCGTGCTCGAGGGCGTCATTTTCAGACTTTCATTCGTTGCCCAAGTGAGCAGTTGTCCAACTGCCTGGAACTTCCCTTGCTGTCCCGCCTAACAGCTCGTAAGCCGCATACAAATTGTAGGTGTTCCACTCGTCGGACGCGTTACGATGCAGTACGTGCGTTTGAACATCAATGCACCTTGAATACGGAATCAAACAAATTGACCGCACAACTTCTCCATGCCTAACGGCAACCAAACGTCGTTGCTCGTGAACAGTAGAAGTGCGCCCCTTTTTCCTTTAAACCTCTTAAAAGTCAAGTACAGCTATGAAAATTTGAAATGTGACTTCGTGTGTGGACACGTGAGCATACTGTACTGCACGCTCAGTGCTCTTTCTCTGAATGAGTACTGCTTGAAGCAGAAGCTGCTTCAGCTTTCTGTCAACCGCTCGAGTGTCGTGGTCCTATGTTTGGTTGATTCGGAAGATGGGATGCAAATCTTGACGTCATTGAACAAGCTATGTGTGTGCCACAACGCTGTCTTGATATGTACGTATGCGCTGGATGAGGCTGCTGCGTATTTGCACGCGCTGTGCGTACTGTCTCAAGAGACGTCTGAGCCCAAGAATACTCCAGATCAAGATGTGTACTCCATCCTGTCCTCCATCAGGGGTATCAACAAGGTGGATGCGAAGTCTATTTGTCATAATAGTCGATCTTTTGCTGATATATGCGCATCCACACTGAAGAGAAATTCTGACTGCCCTGGCGTTGGACCTACAAAAGCGCAAAACTTGCGCAAAACTTTGCAGAAACCGTTCATGATGATGAACAGGATGGATACTTCGGCATAGTAAAGAAACGCAACAACAATATGTCTAACGCCAGACATGATCGGCACCCCACCGTGAGCTAGCGAACTTCTGAAAGCGACAAAAACTCCACACCTCGGCCGCACAACGCACTCACGCGCGGGGAAAATAGTTTCACCACCCGAATAATGTTGCGTATCATGCGAAGCGAGGGTGAAAGAAAACTGACCTTGATCGGTGTGTGCGGTTAGCTACGAACACCCGGTAGTAGATGTGACGCAAAGGTGTGATTCTACTCAAAGACACGATGTACACTATGTGTATCCATTCACGACTCAAAGGTCTCGAGTGACTCTCTAAAGCTGCGATACGATGCAAAAATCTTTCCGGGACCGCTCATGGAGAGCCGTGTCCCAACCTCCCTAGACCTAGCGAGGTGGCGGACCCGTCGACCGCGCCACCGCAGTCGGCGACGCGGGCGCGGTCGCACGGACTTTAAACCAGTACCGAGCGCGAGTGAGCGTCGGTGTGCACCGCTCGAGCACGTCGGAGACGGGCTCGCTACGGGTGTTGTCGGCCGTCCGCGCGAGAGATCGAGCGCGAGACGGCGTGCGATTCAGCGCGCTCGACGCTCGGGAGCGGTAGCGCGACGGTGAAGATGATCGAGAACGATGCCAACGTCGTGTCGATCCCGGTTGAGGAAGCGGGCGGTGGAAACGGCAAAACGACGGAGGACAGGCTGTGCACGAAATTCTTCAGCATTCACGGGTGCGCGTACGGGGACGACTGTCACTTTCTGCACACGTACAGAGCGGGTTTAACGCTCCCGTCCAGGCCGGCGCCGCTGCCATATGTATACGCCGTTAACGCTCACGGAATGCACATGAATGAGAAGGTGAAAACGCGTCTTTGTAGACACTTTCAGTCTCCGGAGGGGTGTCGGTATGGCGAGCGTTGCTTCTTTGCGCACGGCGAGGCAGAGCTTCGCACCGAAGAGTTCAATATTGCAACGGGTATCGGTATGCCAGGATGCGGAACAGGATCCGCGTTCGAACAGTGCGTTCTCGTACCCGTTCCGCAGGCGCACGTTGGAACCGTCGTCGGCAAGGCGGGTTCAAACATAGCGAGAACGAGCTCCGAATCAGGAGCAAAGGTTTCGATGCTCAGCGCTGAGTACACGAATTCGGACGGAAGCAGACTTTGTCGCGTGGTGGGAACGCCACTTGACGTACAAAAAGCCAAAGACATGATCGAACATCGCCTCGTTATAGCAAGAAGGAAGAAGCGAGACGATGGCAAGTCGCTGCGCGACGACAAGTCTTCGATGAAGCCGTACAAGACTAAAATTTGCGTTTCCTGGATCAATAATGGTTCTTGTACATTCGGTGATAACTGCCACTTCGCCCACGGCGAAGTTCAGCTGCAGAAACGTTTTGGTAACGATGAAAATGTTGAAAGTATTGTGTTGTGATAGCCCGCATTGAAAATTTTGTTTGTTTTGGTTTTGATATAATTGAAGCCTGCTAGGTTATATTCGCTAACTATTACTCCTACAAGACGTATTAGAAGACGTCATCCTCTTCTTCATCGTACTCTAAGTCCCTCGCCGCAACTTCTCGTTCCTTGTCCCAGTCCTTCATCTTCCCACCGGATGAGAGCATGAAGTCGTCTTGCAAAAAGCTCGCCCTACTGGCCTTCTCCTCCTCGCCAGCGGCCGGCGTTTTATCCCCTCCCCGCAGCTCTTCCAAAAATTTCGTCTTGGATATCAGTGCGTCCTTTCTTCGCATGAGCCTCGCCTTCTGGGAGTCCTCTTGTGCCTTGGACACTGCTTTGAAGAGACGAACAACGCCCTTCGTGGCCGTGTTTTGCAGCCGTCGCTCCAACATGTCACTCTCGACATCTCGTCCCCTAGGCTGCGGCTTGACGTGTCCGCGATTTTTAATCTCCAACTTGGCGCGTTTTCTCTCCTTTCTCTCCTTCTCCTCCGCCTTGGCCTCTCTCTCGTCCTCTCGCTGTTTCCTCGATTTCGGCAGCATCTCCGCGTCGCCGTCTTCGTCGCCGTCTCCCACGAGCGAGGCGAACGCGCGAGACATCCCCATCATCTGATTGGACATTGGTCTCGCGAGTAATTCGTCTTCATCCGAACCCTCCTCCTCGTCGTCGTCGTCGGATGCCTCGTCGTCGTCGTCGTCGTCGTCGTCGTCGTCGTCGGATGCGTCCTCGTCCACGTCCGCGTCCGTCTCCTCGTCTTCGCTCTCCACGACGAATGCGTCGTCGTCGAACGCCTCGCTCGAGCTCGACGCGTCGTCGTCCTCGCGCTCGTTCTCTCGCTCGCCCGCCCGTGGCGTCACCCGCGCGTTCGTCCCCATCGCCGTCGCCGTCGACGCGTCGCTCGATGAGGACCCCGCGGCGGCGGCGCCTCTCGCGACCGCCCCGCGTCACTCGGACGTCGTGGGCGAGAGAGTGATTTTTCGTCCTCGCGAGCCCGATCGATCGAAGGCTCGCGGCACTCGGACGCGAAGAACACTGCGCATAGAACGCAATTCGGGGACGTTGATGCGTTGATGGCGTCCACGAACGTCCAGTACGACATCCACACCACACGACGCGGTGCCCCTCGCGGAGAGATCGCACACAAACAAACCCCGTACTCGGACGCACCGACGACCTCGACGACCGGTGGTGTGGCCCGTCCGGTGCGCGTGCGTCACCCGTCGACGCGACGCGCGATGACGGAGATGGACGCCGCGGAGGCCGACGCCGCGTTCGCGGAGTGTTGCGACTTGGTGCGAGAGATGACGAAGATATACGGCGCGGACGAGGACGCACAACGCGTGCGAGATCTGGATGCGGCGATGGAACGGGCACAAAATCAACACGACGCGCACGAGCGAGAGATGGAGAGCGCGATCAGGGAGTTAGCGCGAAGATGCAAGGTGGCGGAGAGGAAAGCGACGTTACCGCATAACGCTCAACACGCTCGAGAGCGATTGTTACGATTAGAGGCGGAGAAGAGAGCGGCGGGGGAGCGCCTGAACGCGTTGGAACGCGAGGCGCGCGCGATTGAACTCGAACGAGAGGAACTCGGACGAAGGCGAGACGAGATCAAGTCGAAGAAGCAAAGGATGGACGTCGTCGTGAACGAAGAGATACCGGCGACAAAGCGAGAGGTGAGCCTGTACGCACACATATCGAACATCGCGTGGCACTACGAGGAGCGCAACCGCGTCGTCGGGCGCGTCAACGCGCGGGCGAGTCGAGACGTGCGATCGATCGACATGCCTCTGAGACCAGGGAACGAGTTCCGCGTCGCCAACGCGCTTTGGGAGATGATGGACTGATGAACACCCGCCGCGGGACGACCCTTAGCTCTGATTTGTATTTTGTAAAGATATTACGGAACCACGTAGCAACGGCGAGAGAGCACCCAACCGTGCGAATTGGTTCCTCAGTGCGCCCCGCGCGCGTCGCTCGCGATGTCCACCCTCGCCGCAACGAAGGCTGATGGGTTTTATTACCCTCCGGTGCGTGCGCGCGCCCAGATGCGACCGTAGAGCGTCGAACACGCGTCCTCTACGTTGGAATTCTTCCGACCGCACCTCGCGCTCCTCTCGAACGAGCTTTACTGACGTCCGCGCTTGTCTCTCATTCGCAGGATTGGACGCCGGAGGGTGGGGTGAAGGGTAGTGCCTTCAAGGGTTCGAATGGTTCGCTCGGGAAAAGAGCGAATAAGATGAGATCTCACGGCGTGTTGACGATTCGGTTTGAGATGCCCTTCCACGTCAAATGCGGCGCGTGCGAACACACCATCGCGAAAGGGGTAAGATTTAACGCCGAGAAGAAGAAGATTGGGATGTATCACACAACACCGATATGGAGCTTTAGCATGCGAAGTCCATGCTGCTCGCAAGAGATCGAGGTGCAGACGGATCCGGCGAGGACGGAGTATAACGTCACGAAGGGCGCGGAGCGATGCGTTGGTTACGGTGTCGTGCCGGAAGTTGAATCGGCAGAGGACGCGATGCACATGCTGGAGTATCACACGGAAGAGGAGCGAGCAGCGCTCTCGACGAATCCAATGTCATCCTTAGAGCGAGGTGTGGAGGATGATAGACGAGTCAAGGCGAGAGCGAGGACGACGATTGAGCTCGACGCGTTGAGCAAGGCGCGTTGGAAGGACGACTACGAGGCAAACAAATCTCTCAGACGCTCGATGAGAGGTCGACGAAAGGAGGAGCACTCGCTGCGAGATAAAGGTCGTGCACTCGGTCTGCCTGATCACGTCAAGTTGAGACCCGAGCGAGAGGAAGACAAGGAGTACGCCCGTCGTGTCTTCAATGCGACTGTCTTTGAGCGTCGTCAACGAGAAAAGAGGAAACTCGTCTTGTCGGAGTCAATATTCTCTAAATCGACGAAGCCGACAGCGAGTTCGACGAAGCGCGTGATGTCATCATCCAACCAATCCAGGGCGTTAAAATTAGCAAAGCGGAGATGATTTGAGTCACATGGACGAGTACCGTTAAACGTAGGAAAAGTTGAGCTATAAATTATTGTAGAACGGGTAGACGGTGGATGGTAGAATGGTATTATGGCCCATTCATTCTTCTGGATTTTCCTCGATCGCGATCGCGAAATGTGGAGCGTCATTGCCCGGATGTTGCACTAGATGCATCGCCCGTGGTGGCTCTATATTCGCGTCGAAGTCTTGCTTTGTGCGACTTAGTGACCTCACGTGTGTGTGCCAGTCGCGCGCTGGATTCAGCTTGCTGATTCTAAGGAAAGCGATGAAGCACCCGGCGATGACGATGAAGAGAACGAATACACCCCAAAGTACTCCTGTGTGCATCGTGTCGTCTCCACGGTCGCTTGTCAATCGATGTTGTCCCTGAGTCGACTGCGGTGACCCGAGCGTCCCGCACCCCGGGACATCCGAGGCGGTCGGCCACCGTGAACACGGACACCACGTCCTCGTTCGCTCCCACGACGCCTCGGCGCCGCCGTTGGCGTCGTACAGGGCGAGATAATCACGTTTTGTCTCCTTCGTCATGTGCGTCGCCCACGATCGACACCGCGCGATCGCCGACTTTGACCCATCATCATCCGCCGTCGCCCAACCGTCGTGACTCATCGATGCGTCGCGATGATCTCTTCGCTCGTCCACGACGTCGAGCACGGACGCGAACGCGGACGCGGACGACGTCGCGAGATGACGATCGATGCGCGCTAGTCGCGTCATCGTCGACGCCTCGACGGACGAGCGTCGAAGTCGCGCGCGCGCGATGTCGTGAAAGAATATACCGGTACCGGTACCGCTGACGAGATATTTCGGTGGAGATATTTCGATTGGGCGCGAGGGATCGCTCGGAGTGGTTTCGATTGTTTTTCACCCACGCGGCGGCTCGTCTCGTCGAGCGATTCACTCAAAACGACGGCCGAGGTCGATTAAAATCGCGTCCGAGGCCTCCGATCCACACGGGACGACGCCGGTGCGAGAAATCGTCGCCCACACTTCACCGGCGATGGATTCATCGACGATCAAGTTTGCCGCCGGGACGTCGTGTTCGCTCGAGCGGGCGGCGATGACGGGCCGGTTGGCGAATCCAAACACCTGGTGCGCACACAAGTCGCGACTCAACACGTCGACGAGACCAGTCTTCGATAGAAATTCATCGATACGAGGACCGAGAACGGTGAGAAAAGCGCACTTATCGTTCAACTCCATCGTTTGTTGGTCTGGGAAGGACTCGAGCGCGTCGGCGACGGCGTCCGCCGCTGAAGGCGGGACGATGACCAAGAAACCCTCGCTCTGGAAGTACACCTGCGCTCGCTCCCCGGTACACACCAGAGTAATCTCCATTCCCTCTCCCGCGACACCGAGATCGTCGACGTCGCCCTCGCTCGCGATCGCCTTCAGCGCGCCGAGCGCGTCGCTGCCCGCCGAGCGGAACAATCCCCAATCGCTCCTGTCAACCACCGCGGCGCTCGTCTTGATGGCAGAAATCTCTTCCTGAACGTCACCGAATCGCAACGCATAACCATCTTCGCCGAAGACGGCCCCGGCCTCGCGCTGTAGGCTCTCCAAATCGCCGTCGATCTCGGGCGGAAGCAAAGCGTCGAGGTCGAGGTCCGGGAGCGAGCGAAGACGTCGCCTCGACTTGGCTCGGAAACGAGCGCTCGAACGACGCATCGGGGCCTCGCGCGAAGACGTCGACGTCGACGCTCGCGTTTCCGTGCGCGCGCATCCGAGAGCGATGGACATGTGGAGGACGATGCGCGCGAAAGTGACGACGCCTCGCTCAGGGCTTCCTCGTTGGACGATTGCCACCGATCGTCACACACGCGCGCACGTCACACGATGGGAGGCCAGCAATCGGACGCGAAAACAAAGCGCGTGGCTTTGGTCTGCACCTCGGCGAGCGCCATGGGCGAACACGCCACCGGGGCGTGGCTAGAGGAGATCGCGACGCCGTACTACGCCATGATCGATGCCGGGGTTGACGTGGACGTGATCTCCATCGCGGGCGGTTCTATTCCCTTAGACGCCGCGTCGTTATCGGGAGATTTCTTCACCCCGGACTGCGACAAGTTCACCAAGGATGAGACGGCGCAGAAGGCGATGAAGAACTCCACCGCGCTCGCAAAGGTGAAAGCGAGCGATTACGACGGCGTCTACCTCGCGGGCGGACACGGGACGTGCGAAGACTTTTACAAGAACGACGCGCTGACGGCGTTCATCGACGCATTCGTCGCCGCGGGGAAGGCTGTGGCGGCCGACTGCCACGGCCCGATCGCTTTACTCACGTGCAAAAAGCCGGACGGCACGCCTCTGGTCTCGGGCGCCAAGGTCACCTGCTTCACGGACTCTGAGGAAAACGCCGTCGGCTTGGCGGAGAAAGTGCCGTGTCTCGTCGAGACTGAGATGAAAAAGTTGGGAGCCAAGTTTGAAGGTACCGCTGATTGGACACCGAACGCGGTGACGGATGGAAAACTCGTCACGGGTCAGAACCCGGCGTCCAGCAAGGCGTGCGCGGACGCCTTCTTGGTGATATTGTAAGTGTCCCAACATCTCAGTTACTGGCGTTAGCGTTACAGTTGTAAATACAAGTACCGGTACAAGAGCATATACAAAGCGGCTAAAAGTACAGCACAGCTACGATGGAGCCATCGTCGCGTGACTAAGACAACACGGGAGCGAGCGAGGCGATATCTGCGACATCGGCGACGCTCGCACTCGCAAAAATAGATCCCCCGCATAGGGCGGAGACATCATCGTACATTTTATCTATAGTGATCATCACTGCGCTAGCGATGAGAGTGATAAGGGTGGGTTCACCCCCAGGGAGCGATATATTCGCAGACGTAGACGGATCTTCTCCGTACTTGCGCGACTCGCGTCTCAGGCTCAGTGCCATGAGGGGTGGCATAACACCGTAAATTGTCGTCATCCCATACGCACTGACGAAACCACTGAGAGGTAAGAATATGTTCGGAAATGACGCCGCGATAGCGAGCGGAACGGTGACGATACCGCCGAAGGTGAGTAAACGCGACGCGCTCGGAGCGCCAGGCTTCCGCTCTGCATCATATGTGTCCAAAGCCTCGAACAAAGCGTGCGTCATCCTCGCATCTTCTGGTGGTTCGTCCAACTTGAGCAAAATATCATCCACGAACGGCTGCGCGGCGGAAGATATTCCTAGGACACAGCCGATGAACGATGTGGCGAGCGCGGCGATGCCAAAGGTGCCCAGCATCACTGATGCTGCACCGCCGACGTCGGCGGAGATGATATCCAGAGGATCCTTGCCAACGTCTCCCGCGGCAACCGCGAGGGCGATGGTATCCCAGAGTTCGAACATCACGAGAGGAATCGCCGAGCCGATCAAAATACCCTTCCTAATTTTCGCTGCGTCGCCTTCAAGCATAGAACAGACGACAGGCACCAAATCATGAAACACGAGGGTCAAAAAGATGATTGGAATAGCCTCCGGAACTGCGCTCATCGAGCCCGTCCACGGAGCGTCACTCCAGTGAGCGTAAAGTGATCCAGCCCCCAAGAACATACAGAACGCGATGAGGCAGACGTACGTTAAAGTTTGGTTGATTGAATTAGCGAGTTTTGTTCCTCCGACGCACACGAGGCCTCCAAACACGACGGTGAACGCCGTGGCGACCACGGCGGCATCGATGCCGGTGACCCCGTTCAGTAAATCTCCAGCTTTGTTGATGTAGGCGACGAGTATCGTGAGCGACACGGCTCCATAGATGCTGTTCATGAGGACCTGACCTTGCTCTCCCAGAGTGCGCTCGGCCATCTCGTTCAGGGGAATCACAACCGGGCTGTGTCCTCTCCCGTGAATCAATCGCTCTTCGTCCCGCTCTCGCATCATCTTAAGATTGACCTCAGCGATCAGTAGCGCGTCACACACCAGCATGATCCACACCCCCAGTAAGGCGCCTCCCGCTGGAACTATCCCGGACGGCGCCGTGGCTTCCGGGAGCGCAAGAGCGCCCGCTCCAACGGTGCTGCCCACGATTAGCGCAATCACGCTCGCCATGCTCGCCTTTTCAGTGACTTCATCCAGACCACTCCTCATCGCTTCGTCCTCGATTTCACGATTGTAATCGCTCGTCGTCGTCTGCGGCGCCAGCGTCGTCCCGGGCTCGTCCGCGCCAGCGCGAGCGCCCTCGCGCTCGCGCTCTCCCAGCTCCTCCGTGGGCGATATCGCGTTCGCTCGCGGTGGAGACCTCGCGGTGATATTTCTACCCTCGGTCTCCCTCGCGCGTCTCCACTCGATCGCCCCTCGTCTCGCGCTCGCGCGCGCGCTCTGTCTCGGTCGACGTCCCGTCGCTCGACGTGTCGACGTCTCGCTCGAACCCGTCGACGACGCGTTCGCGCGCGGACGACGCGCGCGGTCGCTCGTCCTCGCGCCCATCGTCCGCATTCGCCTCTTTCGCCGCGCCCCTTCCTCGCGTTCGCCGCGTCGACGTCCTCGGTCCGCGTCGAGCGTCGAGCGTCGAGCGGCGCGGACGAAGCGTCGCGACGGGCGACCGACCGCGTGATGCGCATAGTACAGATAAAGGTCCGCATCGTACACGCGTGAGACGCCGTCGCCCGCGACCGACCGACAGACATCCCGCGTGACGTGACGTGACGTGACGTGATCGATTGTAGAAAATAACGCGTTTCGATTGGTTCGCGAGCGCCATTGGCGCGTGTCCGACGCGCTCGAGACGAATCGACACGCGCCCGACGACCGGCGACCGGCACACCGCGACGGGGGCCGATCGAACGCTCGGCCGGGACTTTGGGGAGAAAGTCGACATGCGCACGCACGCGTTCTCGCGCGCGACGGGATCGCACATCGCGGTCGCGGGGGCGACACACGCGATGGGACGATCGGCGCGGGCGATATCTCGAACGAGATCGCGCGGATTTTCATCTTCTGAGGCGACGACGAGCGCGCGCGTGGGTGTGCGTTCGACAGAGTATCACGGTGAAAGTCTTTCGGTGTCGCGTGCGAGGGGGTCACGGGCGTCGACGTCGTTGAGAGGTCGAGGAGCGACGACGACGACGCGGGCGTCGTTTTCGTCTCCGACGGAGTCGTACGACGAGTCACACGGGACGCACAACGCGAGTCGACAAGCGAAGGCTTTGGTCGAGCGTCTGGCGTCGACGTTTCTCACGACGAGATCTCCGCGAAGGCGCAGCGCGGCCACGCGCGCGTGGCTCGTGGACGAGGTCGCGGGCCCGAGCGAGCGCTCAAAGATAATAAAGGCGACGGAATTCGAAGTCGCCGACGCGCGAGATTTGCGTTCGAGTGGGAGTAAGGGTCTCGAGCTGTACGATAAACTGCGAGCGCACGAGCGAGCGATAATTGTCGCGCAGTTGCTTCGCCCGACCGTACTGGGGACGTTAGGTGCCCAAGGAGAAGACCTCGCGTACGTCGACGCCGAGGCGCTTGCGACGGACGAGCCGGGTGGAGAGTGCGACGACAGGTTGGCCAACTATTGCTTCTCCTGTCCGCTTCGATCGTTCGGAGCTTCGAACGATGAAGACGTGGCGTCATCTATGTGTGGATTTGAATGCGCGATTCGCTCGCGCATCGAGTCTCGATCGCCCGGACAGGCGACGTACTCCGCCGCCGTCTTCTCGACAAAGTCTGGCGGGCTTGAGGAATTTCTCATAATCTCCCAGGGCGACTCGCACGTCACGCGGCGCGCGAAATTCTCCCGCGAGTTGAGAGAAAAGCTGGGCGTGAGCTCGCGATGACCTCTCTGCCGGTCGCCTAGTTATGACATCAACTATGTGCTAAAATTTGTACCTATAGCCTGAGCGCGAATTTGTGATGAAAAATTCGAATTGCGTAACACTCACGAAAGCGCCATCTCGAGCGCGCCACTCGCCGACGCGCTGACGCTCGAAAGAGTCGAAGAGAGCTTGCATATCGAGCGCTCGAAAGCCGTTCGTGGCGTTGAGTTGGCTCCGGGCGCTTCGCGTTTTTGAGCGCGGGCGTACAGTTGCTTGCGCAGGATCGCCAAGCGCGTCTCGAAATCCGCGGCAAGAATGGGATGCGTCGACGTCAACTTGACCGCGAGAGAGGCAGCCTGTTCGTACATGCTCGCGCGCGTCAACGCCGCGATGATATGTGGAATGAGGACTTCACGTCCTCGTTCGTGATCAAATGCCGCGGATACGATCATGTCGAATGCGTCTGATGACGCGGCGCACAGCGCGGAAATCTGATTTCCGTGCAAGGCAAAAGCGACCGCCTCGGCATCCCACGCGAGAGTAGACGCTTCGTCGAACGCTCGACCGAGAAGAAATGAAAGTTTGGCGATGACCGCTCCGTCGCGCGCGGCATCGCTGGCCTTTGTCTCTGCCAATAATTGCGATAAATCCTCGTCCGACAGCCAGCGCGAATGACGACTGGCATAAAAAACTTGTTCAGCAACAATATCCATCGTCGCGTCACCTTCTCGCACGCCTCGTGTCAAGAGGGTAATCCAACATGGCTTCAGCGTTGATTTCGTTCTCTTAGGCGGATCTTCCCAAAGGATGAGTATTTCGGACAGAACCGTGAATGGAACTTTTGCGCTCACGAGGTCTCGTTTAAAGTAAGCGCACATGGCCTTGACGTCACAAAGGCTGGCTTCATCAGGTGATTCCAGTCCGAAGGGTGCCAGCAAGGCTCCAGTGCGCATTGCCAGCACACGCATCACACCTTTGCTGGTGTCGTGATGACTTCGCCATCCCGGCCACGACGCACAACTTCCTCCGGCGAGTTCTGACAAAATTTTAAGAATCTCCGCTCGCGCCACTGGCGTCGCGACTCCGACAGATCGTTCGAGGGTCGTAAACGCGCTGGACCGGGCCGCGGCGAGTCGTTCGTCTTTGGGTGAACCACCTCCGAGTGTCTTGCGAATGATTGTCGAAAGTTGCGACGGATCGTCTTGAATACGTAGCAGCGCGTCGCTCAGCGCACTTGAAACCGCCAGTAACACATCCACCTTTTGGTCAGATCGAGCAGTCTCCACGATGGCGGCGAGCGTTGAAATTTGCCCGAACGTCGCACAATTCTCCACCCACTGTTTACATATGTCCTGGACATCGCATCCAGAGCGCAGTGATTCGTCAAGCAATCTCAACAGCGCGGGATGGAGTCCAGGAATTTCTTCAGTGATTCGAATGACGAGGTGCAGATTGTCTCTCGCTGTTCGAATATTGGGACACTTTTCAGCGCCTATGACACGGGAGATATCTTCCAAAACCTTGAGGCGAGTTCTCGAAGAAATCTCTCCGTCGAAAACTTGCAACTCCTTACGTGCATTCGGCGAGGGCACACCACTTAGCACCCTGGCAATTTCCATGAGGTGCGCTTCACCCAGACGTGTCAAAACTGGCTCGAGCGCGCTCCAACGTTGATCTGGACTTGATCTGAGAGCACCGGACGGTGGCGACAAGACGCCACGCGCGACGGCAAAAAATACATCTTCGGCGCTTATCGTTGAAATTTCGCTCGGGAATTTCTTCAAAGCTGCGATGATGTTTGTCACGGTGGATTGCGGGAAGTCGGAATGGCTGCTTGTCGCACGCTGAATCTCAGCCAGGGCCGCCGTCAACCCTCCCTCGGGAGCGTCTCCTTTGGCGTTCACGAATACGTGCAGATCAAATCCATCACACGCGCGTGCGAGGTCCTGCAGCGCAACGGATGTGTCATGCAATGTTTGCGCCTTTGTGGCATCGCACGCACCGAGAACGTCGAAGTAAGCCGAGGCAGATTCGATGGCGCATTTCCCATTCGTCGGTAACGTCTTCCAGATGGACCGTTGTAGCATCTCAACGCTTTCATGTGGCCTCGTCGGAAGTTTCTCTTTTAAAATCGCGGCCGTTCGTCGTACTTCCAGAGAGTCCTCACTCGCCAGAATCGCAGCATGCGCAGAGTACACGTCGTATGAGTCGACGTCGTACACATCCGCAAGCCTAAGCGCGTTCTCGAGTGCTTCAACGCCAGACATCGAGCTAGAGCTACCGGCTGCAAGGGCCATGATCGAACGCTTACGGTATTCCACGTCGCCCGAAGCGAACGCACCAGCATCGACCTCTGGGATCATCTCACGCAGCCATTCCGAATCAACCACAGAGCCGAGGGACGATCTGTATTGCTTGAGCAATTCGACGTCCGACCGGATCGCAGGTCCGGGTCTTTCAATTTTCCCGACCAGTTCAACAAGCGCGGAAATGCTCACTGGTGTTTTAAGGCTGATGGAATCCCAGGACGGACGAAGCGCACGTAACGCGTGTACGCAAGCACCGACGTTTAACACCATCTGCAACTTCGATCGATCTTGGATGCGGTTAGCGACTTCATCTATGACGTTAGCAACTTTTGAGGCGTCTCTCATTGTCAATAGAACGGCCATAGATGACCACATCGTAGCTGGAGGGTTTTCGGAGCCCAACGCATCCGTATCACAGCTCGCCATCGCTGCCGCAATGGAGCTTTGAGCGACTTTAGATAGCACGTCGTCGGATACATTCGATCCATGAACACCGAGCGCGTAAGAGATTGCGCTAGCAGCTTCTTTGGCTTTCTCATCATTCGATCTGAATATCAAGTCGAGAGCTCTGCCGAATGTAGATCTCTTAGCGAGAAGTTTGATTGCCGGTCGAACGCTCGTGTCGACCGAGGAATCTCCGCAAGCGTTTGACAGTAAATCTTCATAATTTACTTTGTCGTCAACGATAGATCCGTGTCTTGAATCCGCAAATACCTCGAGCATTCGATGCGTCTGCGACGCCTGCCAGTCGCTCAAAAGTGCCGCAAGGACGTCTTGTTCAGCGTGTACCAACGCAAACGCGAGGAGTGTACCTTTCATGATATTGTGTTCGCTTTCAGTTGGAATGGCTCGCGCGACATCCGCACATAGCTTCCAAGCGTGACTGTACCTACGCTTTGTCAGGCGTAATGCGGTTGCCTGCGCCATTTCGATATCACCTGACTCGAACGCTCTTGATCCGGTGGCGAGTAAGATGGACAATTGCGCATTTTCATCGTACACACCGAGCTTGGCGACAACGCCTTGCAAAACGTCTGGTACACGATACGCATCATCACTCTTACTAACGGCTTCTAAAACCAACTCTAGAGCGACGTGTCGCGTAACTGCACGCGGTGCGCGATTTACATGGTTTTCGGCGAGATAGCGTAAAGCCTCAAAGAATTCAACCTTCTTCCTGCAAGCGTCTCGCGTGGGCATCAATAGAAGGCAACTCTCTGCTGCTTTCGCAGCCTCATCTTCAACGTCTTCGGCTCGAGCAAGGAATTCGTCCGAGACGTCACATATGATGCCTTCTGCCGCAACTGCTGGGAGAATAGCAGACACAGCGCCACCAAGCTCTTTCAATCCTCCAACAAGCGCGCCCACGGCACCAGCCGTACCACCTTCAGGTATGTGGCGCTTCGCGTGATTCCAATCTTTATTACGCAGTTGTGCGCGAAGAATCTCGCCGAGTGCCTGCTCGTGTGTCATGGAACGATGAAAGGCACCGGACTGCAATGTATGAACATGTGCCCACAACTCTGCCCACCGTGGCATTGCGGTATTTGCTACGACGCTGTCGATGAAGTTTTGTAAAAGCTTCAATGCGCTCGTTTCGTCTTGTTCAGCATTCATAACTTCATTTAGCGTCACTCGAACCTTTGCCTCCTGCAACGTCCTGCACGCATTCAGACGAGCTATAGCTTTCTTTGCCATGGGCACTTCTGTGATTGTCACGGGCAATTCATTGAGCATCTCAGCCGACTCTGACACCAAAGTGTCGTCCACAGCGGCACGAGATAATAAAGCTTCGATCGTGACCGCTGCTATTGCGTCCGCACCGCCCGCTATTTCCAAGTTCTCAACGGATGACGACAACCATGACACGGTGTGCGTAACGAGCTTGAGCTGCCCCGTCTCCATCGCTCCCAGGATCCAACGCTGAAGCATCTCTCTCACGATCTCGGGGCCTTCTTCTGAAGAAACGCGAACATGATTAAGAAGATCGCGAACGGGACCGGGTAGCAGTTGCGCCATGTTCTCGGAGGTCACCATGGACAGCATGACTGACAATTTTTCAAACGCATCGCTCTCGAAATATTCTTCCAAACTCATCTGACACATGCGGCCGCTATCCAGATCGAATATCACGCGCACCGCGGACTCCAGGATCGAGGAAACGATCGCACACTCTCTCAGTGTACTCGTTCTCAAGCCGCGTGATGCAGAATCGAGAAGGTCGCGCGCACTGCCGAGTGATCCCATAAAATTGTCCATTTCGCATGAACGTTGAATCGCCCAGGTTTCCATTTCTTGAGCCGACGGACGTGCGAACGAACCATTGGATTTAAGTTTGCACAATTCCTCTGTCGCTGTTAGCAGCCACTCTCTTGAGACTAAATCGTCCAAAAGCTGAGCAACTTCGAGTGAAATCCCAGCGGCATGTGCGTCATCCCTCGCGCGTGTTTCGTTCAATTCTAATATGTGTTGTAGGAAACGAGTCGACTCAGCCCAGTCTCTAGCACGACGCCCGGCCACTTGCGCAGGTCCGTCGCGATTGACGTAGTGTTCGGACCAAGGAAGGAGATTTTCGTATGAGGCCACGTCCGCGGTCTCAGGAAGAGCAGAGAGAACATCAAAAACTACTCCGCTCACGCCGAATGCGTGGCGCTTGACGATCACTCCGAGCGTCGTCATGTCGTTCGTGTAAGCAGCATTTAAAGCGGCCTCGTGAATTGGTGAATGTAGCAAAATCGAGTAAAGCTGTGCAGAAAAACCACCCCCGGTGATTTCGCGCACCGTGTCTGCACGGTCGAGAGCGGCGAGCAAGGCTATGCGCACTTTGACCCACCAACTCCATTCTGGTTCGTCTCCAGTATCCGATTTTTGTTGCCTTGCTTTCTTTGCTTGTGCGTCAGATTCCTTCAATCCATAAACCAAAACGTGTCGCTGAATCTCATACGTTTCCGCACAAGCGGTAAGACATTGGACGGCGACCCACGCGCGGTCACTAATTCGCGATAGCCAGTCTGTTATTCCTTCCGTCGTCACGCGTGAGCGCACCCAGCGCGTCTTGTACACGATATCGGTGTTCAAACCGTGCTGACGCGCCAAGGTAAGCGCCACGCCCCATTCTTCCGAGTCCATGCGCGAATTCAACATCTCTAAAGATGTTCTTTCGTTGATGGAGATCAGTCTCCATCCTCCTCGCCCGGTACGCTCTAGAAGCAAAAGTCGACCACGCTCGACACCGTCGACAAATTTAGGCGCAGAAACTAAATCATGAATCGAATCGAAGGATTCAGGCTCGTCCCCTAACACGTTGATGTCGTCTGGAAACGTCTTCACAGTGAGAGTTCCATCCTTCGTCGCCACTGCTAGTGATGTCTGTGACCACCACGCGGCTGAGACGACATCGCTTCGCGATTCGATCCGTTTGATCACCTCGTCACCATCGTTCGATGCGATGAAGGTGCTCAAAGATCCGTTCACTGACGTCGTGGCGACGCTTAAAGACCCATCCATCAGTCGAACTGCGAGACGTGCTCGACGCGGCGATCGAAATAGACTTCGTCTTGGAACGACGTCTCCACCGCAGTCTATGACGCGCGCACATCGCAAGTTCGTAAAATCATCGGTATGATCGTATTTCCAAGTGGTGATGAGCGAACCCGTCGATGAGCGACCGAGTCCGACAACAACCAACGTGCGTTCTCGTTCCACCCACTCGGCGCCATCTGCCCACTTGAGCTTTTTCGCAAGACTCATCGAGTCTTCCGCCGCGGACTCCCTCGCATTTTGCTCACGGTCGAGCGTTATCCTAGCTCGAGTCAGCAGGGGCGCTCCTTTGAGATTAACGCTCAAAAGATCGTACGAGGTCGATGCCTCACTTGCGTCTCGTCCACGCGCGAGCGCGAGCGCACAACCAGCGACACCTCTTCCTCCTGACGCTCGATTCGCACGCCAGACGATCTCTCCGATGCGTGTACACACGTATACGCGTCCATCACCTCTCGCACACGCGTACAATCGCCCATCACCGCTCCATCGGGTCAGAGTTCCTTCGACTTCATCCCCTGGTTCGCTCGCGTTGTCTCTCGCTTCGGCCCTTCCGCGCGCGATCCCAAAGTCATCCTTCTCGGCGTACGTCACGCACGAACCATTGTCGGAGCTGATTATGACGTATACGTGTTGATCGATCGACCCGTTCGTGGACGTTCCGAACTCGCTCGTCGTCGACAGCGTGTAGGAAGACGACGACACGTGCGACCGTTCTCGCTCGTCCTCGACCTCGTCGTCTCGTTCCTCGTCTCGCTCGCAGTGCGCGTAGGCATCGTACAGCGTACGACTCTCACCCGTCGCCATGATCACGACGCGCGACGCCGACGCCGATGCGGCGTCGGCAAGACGAGCGCTGAGGTTTGGTTGTCGCGTCGAAAGTTCTGGATTTCTCCTACATATACCGGTATATCATATAAAAATCGCGCATCTCACTCAAACGCAGCGACGATCTGATCGCTGAAGCTTCGAGGTGACCAGTCCCGACAGATGTCGCGTATTAATGCACTCGAATCCATAGATATGTCTGGTGGTGCGTCGACTCCACGAAGCGCTCTGGCCTCCGTGCACGACGCTCGAGCAATTTTTGATTTGTACACGCTCTCAAGCTCTGCGTCACCACTCGCGAGGTACTCCGCGACCCCATTCGCCATATCAACGCGACTGACGCGATCCGGACCACCCATGTTATACACTCGAAGCGTCGGAGAAGGGCCCGCGCGCGTTGCCAGCGATCGAACGATATGGCAAATGTCATGCACGCAAACAGGTGAGCGAAACTCGTCTTCGTAAAACGAGGTCTGTTCATCCTTTTTAAAGCTCGAAGCAATAAAATCCAAGAATAAAGTTCGTCGCACATCCTTAAGTGGAGGCTTTGGTCCCGTGATGATGCTCGATCGAAGAACGACGGCGCGATCGCCGAGGTCTTGCACGAGAGCATCTTCGCAGAATACTTTACTTGCGCCGTACGCGTTCACCGGCGCCGTCTTCGTGCTCTCATCGCTCAGAGGGCTCCGGCCGTCATAGACGTGATCGGTCGAGAGTTGAATCCACATTGGAACCTGTACACTTCTGGTCAATGCCTCTGCCTTCACGGCGTTCCATAGAAAACGTGGCGCGTTTGCAAGTTTTGCAGCCTCCGGGTTCCTCTCACACGCGCCGGGCGCGCTCATCGCGGCACAATTCACCACCACCCTCGGCGTCGCCCCGTAGTCGAATAATTCTCTCACTATGTTCTCGCACGATGCGATCGACGCGAAGTCGCACGCTGAAGTCCGTCGCAGCGTCGATGGAGCGTCGACATCAATCGCCTCATCGCCGCTTCTTCCGCACGCGTGCACGACGTCAAAGGCGCCCGAGTGAGCGAGATCGAGAGCGATGAACTGACCAAGATATCCGTCCGCGCCGAGAACGCACGCGGCGACGCGCTCCGTAGCCATGGCGAAAAGTGCCGCGTTGGCGTTCACGGTTAGCAACGAGTCTCACGGACGCAGACGCGCACGCGGAAGCGATCAAATTGCTCTGGAAATTTATGAAGACACAGCGATGGGGTTTTAAAGATTTTTCGAATTTTTTTGTGATTTTTCCAAGCACATTTACGCGGCGTCAATCGCGTTGAGAATTTGCTCTACGTGCGCGGTCGTTTTGACGGAAGCCATTGACTGGTCGCGCTCGAGCCAGTGGTTAATTATGGTTCCGTTGCCGTCGACCAAAAACGTTTGACGATCGCTAAAGCGTCCGAAAATCGGAATTTTCAAATCGGCACCGTACGACTCGGAGACCGAACCGTCCCCATCGGAGAGTAACGTGAACGATTTCAGCCCTTTGTCAGCGCAAAACTGTTCGTGCTTGTCCAAAGAGTCCATGGAGATGCCGAGGACGCGAGCCTCCCTCTTCGCAAACTCGGGAATCGCCGCTTCAAATCGTTGAGCCTCGACGCTACAACCCGGTGAACCGTCTTGATTGTAAAAATATACGACTGTAAACTTTTGCTCGTTGAGAACGTCGCCCAGGTGCACTGATGCCCCCTTCGTGCCTCGGAGTGTGAAGTCTGGAGCCTTGTCACCGATGTTCACCGCTCGCGCGCGAGAAGGCGCGAGCACGTCCAGGGCCGCGAGTGAGAGCGCGCCACGGAGCACCGCTCGACGATCGATGACTTTCACGGCGTCATCACCGCTCGCCTCGACGCGAGCGCTCGCTCGTCGCGCACGGCCCGTTCGAGCGCGCGTGGATGCGACGACGGCGCGCGTGGACGCGACGACGGACAAACACGAGTACGACATCGTCGCCTTCGAGGACGCGGGACGCGCTATCGGGCCTGAGAACGAGAATACCGACGACGCTCGACCGCGGACTAAAACACGTCGATGTTAGGTTGTGGCCAAACAGTACGACAGGTGGTGGCACGCCAGCGTTTGAAGGACTACGGGCTAATTCTACAACAGGCGCGTGCACGCTTTCAACGCGTCATACTCTTTGACGACCAAATAGGACGCAGCGACAGCACCATACATCGATTCGCCCTCGCGAACGTCCAAGATCCTTTTTCGACAGTCTTCAATGATGCTCTTGTCGAAGCGCTTCAGAGCGTTTTCACACATTCGCTTAAATACATCCAAGGCGAACTGCTCGATGTCGTGTTCTTCGATTGCCTCTGCTAAGAAGCAATCAGCGAACATGAGCGCGTTTTCACCAACGCCATTCACAGGGTCGATGCGCAATATCACGGACTCCAGTTGCGTGAAACCCGAGTCGACAAACTCACCCGTTTCGTTTACGAATTCTTCTCCCGTGAATTCGACATGAAATGGTTGATCGTTGCGTACGACGAAACCAAAATCAAGAAAAACATCAACATCCGAAAGATGTACGCCATAGGAATCGAACACCTGATCGCCTCGTGCGTACGACTTGTGCGCTCGAAGCGTCGCCGTCGCGGAGCCCGCGTCGTATCGTAATATTGAGCTCTCTTCAGCATCACTTGAATGATTCAAGCCATCGGCCCACGGTACGAGAACGAGAACACTAGTGTCGAAGTCGTCCTCACTGGGACCAGGTCCCCATACATCTTCGTCCACGTCGCTCAAACGCTCGAGCACTGCAAACGCTCGAGCATCTGTCTCGTCAAAATTTTCAAAAACGTCGTCATCGAAGAACTCAAGTCGGAAGGCTCTCGACGCACATATAGCCGACGCCCATCGCACATCTGCCTCGGAAGGCCATTCGTCATCGTTCTTACCGGAAACATCCTTTACATCCTTTCCTAATCCCATGGAGCGAAAATCGTGCGCATCGTTTGCACAATTTCGTAGACGCTCCGTGAGTCTCTTGCTCGCTACCGTCCACGTCGGCAGCCTCGAGGTCCTCGCCTCGTCGCTCCAGAGTAGCGGATGCCAATCACCATGATGAGGAAGCGTCTGCAAATATGGCCACCACCGGCTAGCCTCTTTCCGTTTCATCTCTTCGAGAACCGCAGCGACCAGTCGCCTGAAATCGCTCCCGTATTCCATGCGCGGGTGCGCAGTGAGGAACGCCTCACGTGGGATCTGGATAATGACCTCACCTCGTCGAATGCCGCTCTCGCGCACGCACGTCGCGCGAACGCCGAAACCGTCATTCGCCGTCGTCAGCCGCAACCCTCGGTCGCTGAAGCCTTCGATGTTCGAAAGCCATGCGTGGAGCCTGTCGAGTGCTGCTGCATCGCACGACGACGACGACGACGACGACGACGACGACGACGACGATGCCCTGCATGATGAACCAAGACGATCGCGGCGACAATCGTGCGCGCGCACTCGTGGTCGTCTGTTCGTGACCGTCGTAAACGGCTTTGTGAGCATCTGTTTCTGCAGACTCCGCCCCCACGTCAACGTCCCCCTCGTGTCCCGTCAGAAGCCGACGCGAACTTGGTGACGCGCGCGCGTGCCACCTCGCGATGTCTCGTGAATTTCAGTTTGAGAACGAAGAGGCGATCTGTTGGAAAACGACGGTGACGCCCAACCTCCCACTGAAGATGCATCGTCACGACAGAGCGCGCGTTATCGTCGCTCTTCAGGGAGGCGTGCTCAAGCGCGTGGACGAAGACGGTTCGACGCGTGATTTGGTGTTTGAAACGGGCAAGGCGTACTGGTACGAGGCTGATCCGCCGGATAACTTACACGCGGACGTTAACGAGGGGTCAGAAGATGTTGTCGTCATCGTCACAGAGTTCAAGACGGATGAAGATCGAAATGGAACTCGAAACGCTCGCGCAGATTGCGGATGTGGCGAAGGGGGGAAGTGTGACTGCAGATCGAGAATAGGATTTCCATTCAAGATGCCTCTCGGGTGGGAGCCTCCTACGACGAAAAAGTAGGCAACGTTACGTCTAGATTCTAGAAATTTCTGATGGTACCGGTAGTAAGTAGTATAAGTAGCACTGCATTGAAACGCTTTAGCTCCAACCGATTGAGCCTCATTGCAAGTCGGCGTCGGCGTCGATCACATCTTTAGTCGTGCCCCCGCATGTCAACAGCTGTTGCAAGAGCACTCTCGCGGTATCGCGCTCTCCAGCACGGTTGGCGGCGCACGCTGCGTTATATACGACCCCGAACCTCTCTTCACAGTTCCCGGGATCTCCAGCATCGCTCAAAGCGAGGGCTTTGATGTACGCCTCCCACGCGACGCGATAAGCCTGAGTTGCACCGGCTTGGTCAGAGCGACGCACGCAATACGTGGCGAGCGCCATGTTGGACTCGCCCACCCCGACGTGTGCGTTCAGGTCTGAGCCGTTCAGCTTGAGTGCGGCACCGTAAGCCTCCTCTATTGCGCTTCGTAAATTTTGTTCCGCCGAGTTCGTGTCCACGTGCTGCAAGATCTCGGCTTTGGTCTGCAGGGCGTCGCCCAACGCGTTGAGTGGCTCTACAGCGCCCATGGAAAATTGTGAAGACGAGCGAAGCTTCTCTATCGACGCATCCGCGGCCGTCGCGGCTTCGTCCAAATTCTTACATTTCGCCAAAAATTGCGCGTAGCTTGTCAAACTACATCCCCAATCGTACAAAAATCCACCCAAATCGTCACCATGATTCGCGTCGCAGTGACCGCATGCTCTTTCGTAAATGCTCAGCGCTTCTCGATACGACGCGAGCGCGATCGCATCCTCTTTCCTTTCAGACGCGCGCTCGGCAAGCTTCAGCCGCGCATCGGCACAGTTCCACAACGCGAGCAATGCATCTCCTAACGAGCGTCCCTCTCCCTCTATCGAGGTCGACACAACGTCATACATGGAGACTGCTCGTCGAAGCGCCTCCGCCGCGCGAGCGTCATCCTTCTCGAGCTCCGCTATTCGACTCAACGCTGTCGCGACGCCGTTCGATCTTTCTAACGTGCCAGAATCGCTCACGCTTTCAAACACGCCGAGCGCCTCGATCGCGAGAGACATCGCCTGTTCGTTTGCCGCAGTCTCTTCGCCTCGAGAGTTCTCCGACAGCGGCTTTCTCCGCACCCGTCTCTCGATCTCGCTCGAAAACTCTAGAGCCGTCTCGGCCAGGAACACTTTTGCTTTATCGGCGTCCGAGATCGCGCCAGCGCCTCGCGCGCATCTCGACGCGAGCTCTCGAGCGCTCTGAAGAACATTTTCGTACGCCTCCACTCCGGCGGCCTCTGCGCCGCTTCGACACTTTTTATTCGCTCGCTGCGTCTCCTTCGCGAGCTCCTTGATCGCCCCCTCGACGGTGCGCGTGGATTGCGACGCATTCGTCGTCGTCGACCCCTTCGAACGGCGTCTCGCGTGCGGCGGGACGTACGACATTCGCGCTCGAGTGCGCGAATGTCGAGCACGGCGTGGGATTTTTGTTTTTCTTTCGTTTTTTCGTCTTTCCCTCGTCCTCGTCGCCGCGCCGCGCGCACATCGCGTCGCGCGGCGCGTCGCGCGCGATGTCGCGGTCCTTGCGCACGCGCCCGCGACGCGCGCAGTGCGTTCGCTTCGCGCTAACGTTCTCGCTGGCGGTGTGCGCGGTGCTGGTGTGCGTCGCGGCGACGGAATCGATTTGGTTGAGTCATGCGCCGAGCCTGTTTTACGTCCCGCCGTGGGTCCCGGCGCGCGCGGCGGCCGCGCTCGGGATTCCCATGGCCCGAGGACCACTGCCATGGTACGGTCAGTTCGGCCAGGACGCGTGGGCGGCGAGCGCGCGAGGCGGCGGGGGCCGCGACGGGTTCTTTGTCGAGCTGGGCGCGCAAGACGGCGCGAAAACATCGAACACGCGCGCGCTCGAGGAGCGCCTCGGATGGCGTGGGGTGTGCATCGAGGCGGATCCGTTGAATTTCAGGGTGCTGCGGTATCAGAGACCGATGTGCCGGACGGTGCGCGCGGCAGTGGGGGCGAAGAGTGGGACAAAAGTGTCGTTCGAGAGCGGCGGTTTGCGAGGCGCCGCGTTCGGAGGGTTCGGTGGCGCCACGGGATTCGCACGATATCGGGGTCAGAGCGCGCCCTCGGGGACGAAGGTTGAGATGGAAACGACGACGTTGACGGACGTGTTGCGCTCGGCTCGAGCGCCTGCGCTAATAGATTACCTCTCGTTGGATGTCGAAGGCGCGGAGGTGGACGTGCTCGAAGGCTTGGACTCAAATACATACGTCATTCGCGCCATCTCCGTCGAACATAATTTCGAAGAGACGAAGCGCCAAAGAATCTTCGATCTGCTATCCAGTCGCGGCTACGATCGCGTCGCCGCGGGTGACCGGGCGTCGTGCCACGTCGACGCGCTCACCGGTCGGTGCGCACCAGCCTCGGGAGCTGATAGAGCGGATCCGTCTTTCATCGCTTCGGCAAGGTCTTCCACTCCCACCGGTACATCCGGAGCGTATTCTGGTGAGGGTTGGTGCGCCTGCGTCGACGACTTTTACGTTCGAAGACCATAGTACGATAGAATGATAGAATGGCTTGTACGAGCGTTCGTACTCTTAGAAGGTACCATAGACGATTCAGATCCAGCACGAACGCAAATAAGAACGCATAACATTTTCGTGACGATTCGATCGAGTTTCTTGGTTCACATGTCTCGAGGTACTCGAGCGATTGCATCGCTCGCTCCGTCATCTGTGCGCGTCCCGTCATTCGCGGGACGGACTATTTTTCTGTTCTCAGAAACTCGCTTGGATGTATCGACAGATGAATTACAATGTTTTTCTATTCGCATGGAGACCGTTATCATCAGCTCATTCATCTCTTCATCAGCCTTATTTAGCCTATCGGCCTCGTGCCTTGGCTTTTCTTGGTTCACACGTCTCGAGGTACTCGAGCGCATGCTTCGACGCGTCATCGAATTTTCTCAAACGCTTCAGTCGCTCTTTGTCCGTTGAGTGGTTTAAATCGTGCCACCACCTTCCCACCAGAACGCCGTCTCTTTCCCCAGCATCTTCATGGTCCCATCGCGCGAGTGTGGCCACATCGTCCTTTCTCGGCAACTTGCCATCCAAGTGGTCGCGGACGTGCGCGCTGAAAATCTTCAACTTGCGCGTGTCGTGCGCTGTGTACCTGCATGCATGGCCATCTTCGCGAAACACACATGTCTCGAGATACTCGAGCGCGTGCTTCGACGCGTCATCGAAGTTTCTCAAACGCTTCAGTCGCTCTTTGTCCGTTGAGTGGTTTAAGCTGTACCAAAATTTTCCAACCGGAACGCCGTCTCTTTCCCCATCATCTTCATGGTCCCATCGCGCGAGTGTGGCCACATCACGAAATCTCGGCAACTTGCCATCCAAGTGGTCGCGGACGTGCGCGCTCAAAATCTTCAACTTGCGCGCGGCGTCAACGATCAACTCAAACTTCCAATCGAGCCAGCAGCGAACACAATCTTCAAAAAGCGCGGAACATGCTACGCACAAACCGTCGCCTTGACGAAATGTCTGATTTTTATCAATTGTACCGATTCGCTTCTTTTTGATGCGAGAGTATCGGTCGAAAATCGGTTGAAACACGTCAATGACCAATGTGCCGACGAAGAACATACTGACAGTGCGACGGGCGACGGCGTGGTTGCACAGAACGCACTTCCGGTTCCCCTTCCCCGTGTTCGTCGCCTCCTCCGCCGGGTTCTCGTCCGCACCACCTGTCGGTTCGGCGCCACTCGTGCCCTGGCCCCCCCGCGCGACGCCATTGTCGCGTTTTTCAGCGAATTCCGTGTCTCCTGCGCCGTCGAACGCACCGCCGGCACTCGTCGAGTCCACCGCGCGCGCGCCGATCTCCGCGCGCCGTTTCGCCTGTTCCTCGTCCTGTTGCGCATCGTCACGCCGACGCTTCGGCGCGAAGAACGCGCGAAAAGCTCTAATCATCCTCCGTGTTTGGATTACAGAAATAGAGAACTATCAGTCGGTAGCCGTCAGCCGCGCGCGCGCTTCGCTGAATGCCCTCTCCACGTCCCAGACGCGCGACGTCGCGCGTGGTGCCCAGATTTGTGACCGGGATCGATTTGCATCGCTCGCTCCGTCATCTGTGCGCGTCTTGTCATTCGCGGAACGGACTATATTTCTGTTCTCGCTCACACGTCGTTCAGTACTCGGGCGGTCTTCCGAATCCACCGTCCGCGAGCGCTTGGAGACCGTTATTCCGAGCACCATTCACGTCACGATCGATGCTCAAAACGCATTCATGGCGTGACTACGCGACGCGCGAACGCTCGCCCACGCATCTTTCCATCGCGCCACGCACGCGAAGCACACAAAGACAACGTGATGCACGCGAGTGTATCGCGTCTCGGATCGCACGTCGCGAGTTCGCGTCGCCGCCCGCGCGCGTGCGTCATCATCTCATTTCGACCATTTCGAACACCTTCGCCTTTGCGTCGCGCGCGCGAGCGCAAACGCGTCGAGCATCACTCGTGCGCATTAACGCACGCACGGCGTACCCTCGAGTCGCGTTTGCGAGCTCTGGGCGGCGCTCGACGCGAGCGCGTTCTTAGGCAAACTTTGCATGTTCAACACACTTTGCATTTTGTCCCACATCATTTCCGCAGCCGACGCGCGTGCGCTCGGTTGGGACGCTCCTGAGGCGCGCGCACGCAATCTTCGCGTTATGCGCGAACGCTGCGTCTGACGCGCCGAGGGAGCGGCGCTCTCGCGCTCGCGCCACGCCGTAACGAAATCGCCGGCATTGCTGCATGCGCGTCACGTTTTTTGCGCCATAGAGGGAAAACATCATCGCCAGCGCCGGGGCGCGCGATCGACGTGACACACGTTCATACTCGCATCGATCCCTGCTGCGAATTCGCGCCTCGTGGCCCGTTCGTGAGCCCGTGTCGCGCATTCTCGATGTCATGAGCTCATGGGCCCATGGCTCATGAGCTCATGGGCGACCCGCTCACGGCGGCACATCGGCGCGTCGACAAAACGCCCAGGTTCGTAGTGTCGCGTCAAACATACCATGTTCGCCGCGACGACGGCGTTCGGTGCGCTGCGGTCGATCTTGTGGCCGTAACGAAATCGCCGTCATTGGCGCATGCGCATGCGCGTCATGTTTTTTGCGCTATTTCGAATTACAATAGTTTCCTATTCAATGACATCTATGGGAGGGATTTGCCTCGCTCGCTCCGTCATCTGTGCGCGTCCCGTCATTCGCGGGACGGACTATTTTTCTGTTCTCGCTCACGCATGTGTGTTCCAGTACTCGGTTTAGGGTTTAGGGTTTAGGGTTTAGGGTTTAGGGTTTAGGGTTTAGGGTTTAGGGTTTAGGGTTTAGGGTTTAGGGTTTAGGGTTTAGGGTTTAGGGTTTAGGGTTTAGGG